AAAAAAGATTGGTTAGCTTTGATATTTACTGGGTCGCGATAAAATGTTGGGCCGAGCGTATTCTCTGAGAAAGGAAACAAGAAAAGCGAGCGCATTCATTGTACGTACTCTCGTGCCAAATGCTCCCATTACCAACACCAATCTCTTCGCCATCCGCCGTTTCCTTCACCCTTCCGGCTTTCCTGTCCTCGGGAGTGATGGTGTAGTCGGCCTGCTTGGCGCAGTCCTTGTAGATGCGCTGGGTGGCGCCATAGGCGATGTAGGATGAGCTCTGGTTGCCGGCAACGGATGCCAGAAGCTTGCGGAAGCCACCAGCCAGGCCGCCGCTCCCCTCGCCGCCTTCAGCACGGCATTGGCGCGTTGTGTGTATCCGTCGAGATTGTTGTGAGAGGAGGCTTGTGCTTCTTCTCGTACTGCGGGCGGTGGTGTTGCTGGACTGGGAGAAGGATAGCGCGGCGCGCGCGGTGGTGCTCTCGGCAAAGAGACCCTGGCGCAGGGTCGACGTTGCGGCCGGTCCTCTCGGGAGGAGGAGGCCGAGGCTGGATCTGCAGCTGGGGCAAGCCATTGGTCGGGGAAGTATTGCTCGTGCCGGGAAGCTGACGGGAATCTATGTTTTTCTCTGGGCTCGGGGCTCGGAGGTTGGTGGATTCGGCAGCAGTTCCGGGATCTCGGATGGAGGACGGATGGTTCTTTACTTTCGCATTATGCCGTCATGGTGAATTGGCGCTTCTGATGGACAATGCTCCCAAACTGAAAATGTCTGCCGGTGATTGCACAGGGTTAGGGTCGGAGGTGTTTCCATCCTGTGCTTGCTACAGTCTCTTGGCCACTGTCATTACATCTGCTACCAACGCCTCAAAGCTTGAAGCTCTTATCCAAAACGGACGGACAGAATTCACTGTGATACCGGCTTGTCTTCTCCATATCGATGAGGCTTTTGCTGTATTCTGTTGACTTGTAAATGGGGGGAGAGCGTGTGGTATGATTGATGTACTTTCATGAACCCTAACCCTTGACAGAATGTCCAGAAGATCAAATAGGAGGATAACGACTTCTTGAACTTGTCTTCTCTGCCGTTCAATTCTATCGTGTGTGGTATGTTAGGGAGTTTGAGTTGGTGCACAATACTATGAGCTGTCTAACAAATCTCGATAGATCAGAGATGACTGTGTATTGCGATATTACCAACTCTATATGCAATGCGTGAACTTCATCCGTCCTGTGGGAATTCTATGCGGAAAATGCACCCCTAATGCGCGTCTGCGGTAGGTAGGAAAAGGGATAAAGACAGGTGGGAGGACAAACTTTGGCAAAGAAGCCTTCACCCGGCATCTCCCTGAAAATATGATGGCTACTCGAACTTTGAAAATACCAAGGAAGCATTGGTGCCCCCGAAGCCAAAGCTGTTGGACATGGCCACCTTGACTTCCTTTTGCTGCGCCTGAACAGGGACAAAGTTGAATCCAACACCGACATTGGGACTGGTCAAGTTGAGAGTGGGGGGTATGGCTCCCTGTGGTCACATATTAGCAGAGGCAACGACTCTCAGGCACTACACTCCGGACACTCACCTCAGCAATGGCCAAGATTGAAAACACTGATTCAATGGCCCCCGCCGCCCCAAGAAGATGACCAATCGCTCCCTTGGTGCTGCTTACCGTAATCCTTGACTCGTCGTCCACTCCTTCTTCACCCATCATCAGCGACCGAATGGCAATCGCCTCAGCCGCATCTCCTACAGCCGTCCCCGTGGCATGGGCATTGATATAGTCCACCTCCCCCGGCTTAACACTCGCATTCATGAGCGCCCTCTTCATAGACAGGAATGCCCCTGAGCCATCAGCCCTTGGCGCCGTCATGTGATGTGCATCACCACTGCATCCATACCCCTTCAGCTCGGCCAAGATCCTAGCGCCGCGCCTCTTGGCGTGCTCCAGCTCCTCTAGAATGAGGACAGCAGCACCCTCGGATACCACGAAGCCGGCGCGGTCCTTGTCAAAGGGTCGGCAGGCAGATGTCGGATCGTGGTTGTATGCGGTAGACAGCGAGCGAGACCGGCCAAAGCCAGCAAAAGTTAAGGGGTGAATGCAGGACTCGGAGCCGCCGGCGACCATGACATCAGCGTCGCCAAAGGCAATGAAGCGGGAGGCGTCACCGATGGAGTGAGCGCCGGTGGTACAAGCGGTGGTGGCAGAGTGGTTGGGCCCACGGAAACCGTAGCGCATGGCGATGTGGCCAGCCCCGAGGTTGATAAGAATCTTGGGGACGAAGAGAGGGGAGACCTTCTTGTAGCCCTACAATACAATAAGCATGTTAGACTCGTACATCACGGAGGTACCCAAGGTTCAAGGTCGAACCTGTGTGCGCTCTTACCTCTTTGTCATACGTGACGCTGGTGTTATAAAAGTCATCCAAGTTACCGATTCCGCTTCCCATGCAGACACCTGTGGCTTCAAGGTCTTCCTGCCTCGTGGGCTTCCACCCAGCATCTTGCAGGGCCATTTCGGTAGCAGCGACAGAATACTGGGCGAAGAGAGACATGCGTCTCTGGTCTGAAGGCTCCAACCAGTCCGCAGCCTTCCAAGTGTGCTGCTCGTCAACATTCTGCTTGTTCCTCGCAGGCGTAGGAACAAGGCCGGCCACGGTGCTGGTGAGCTCTTTCCATTTGTCCTGGGGCTCGAGGTCGGCGACGCTGACGATGCCCGAATGAGAGTCCAAGAGCCGGCGCCAGGTGGGACGGATGCCGACGGCCAAGGGCGTGATGGCACCGAGGCCTGTCACTACCACGCGTCTCATTATCTTTCCATGTTATTCTTGTCAGTCAAGGGTATATAAAAAGAGGCCAACTGCGTGGCGGGGACGGTGACTGATGAACCTGGTAAGACCGTTATGTCAATATGCATAAAGTGAAGAGGAGCTCTGAGCAGCGACGTTGACAGTGAACAAACGGTGCAGGAATCGCATTACGTGCATATCTGTACAAGGCTTAGCGTTGCTTTATGCATGATAGTGGAGCTTGGTACCTATCTGAACATCGATGTGGAACCTCTTCTGTTTCGGGTCACTCACCTTCAGCAGCTCAGCTCCTACACTAGTCTCCTACACTACACTAAAGCTCCCTGAAAGAAGGCAAGGGGGTTAGGAGTGCCGCCTCACGACATCCAAAAGCCACCTTGGGCATCGAATTTCATCTAAATTATTCCCAAACTCCCTAGAGGTAGCAATGTTTGTCCGATTTACCGATTCTGTGCATATTGCCTTACTTACATCCAAGGTATCTCCGAGTTGCCCTCTGACACAAATCTGCAAAGGGACTTGTATAGGGCTGAATAAGAGACAGCTGTTTGGCCCACTTTACATGTGCCAACCCTGACCCTTCATGACAACAAAGCATCAAGCCATCACCACCAAACAGCTTTCATGCATCTTCTATACCTACCCAGATCATCTACATTCCCTTTCCTCCCCTATTGATTCGCTTCTCATTGCCCTACACACCTCTCAACATCAGCAGCTCGACTACAGGGTCTCGTGCTCGTCAGGAGATCGGAAGGATCCACCCCTTTGACGTACGAGTGCTGCGGGAGCTGCAGCTTGGACCGCTTTGACCTTGTTGTCTTCACAAGGGAACTCACTTGCACAATACTTGACAACTACATACATACCAATAAACCTACCTACACGCCTGAACCGAATCTATCACGGATATCTCGGATTTGGAAATGACTGCGAGTATAGCATTGGAACGATAACAGCTCCCAGGCTCACTTGAGCGGCATTCCAAGCAATGACCTCCTACTCGAACCTCAGATCTTCAGGTGCTTCCATAGACGGTATGGAAGCCGTTGAACTAAAAGACAGAAGGGCATCTATGAGCGGCCGGAAGTCGGGCGATTTGGAAGCAGGCGAGGAAGATATCGGGGTACCCTCTTCCTCTTGGAACGGCGCACCCGGTTCCTCCCAAGGGGGTCATCGCAGGCAGGAATCCCACGGCGCCGATGACGAAGATGGTTCCGAACTCGAACTTCTCTTGGACCCAAACTTGCCTGCCGAATACAGCCACAAACTTCGCGATCTCACTCGAAAGTCCCTTAGCTTCGACGACAATCAAGTAGGGGTCAAGTTCGGCGAAAGTGAGGACGAGGAAGAAGAGGTAGAGAACTCACCTTATCCAGAAGTCCGAGCTGCCGTTCTCAACTTTGATCAAGACCTGCCATGTAACACCATCAGGGCGTGGACCATTGGACTTGGGCTCATATTTCTTGGGGCTTCAATGAACACCATCTTCTCACTGAGAGCCCCATCAATCAGTCTCGGGTCACTTATTGCCCAAATCATCGCTTGGCCGCTGGGACATGGCTGGGCCAGGTTTATGCCGCAACGTGAGTTCAACACCTTTGGTAAAAGGTGGACTCTGAACCCGGGACCTTTCAACATCAAGGAACACTCTGTCATTGTTGTTATGGCCAGTGTCTCCTTTTCTGTGGCCTACGCTACCGACATCATTTTGGCCCAAAAGGTGTTCTACAAGCAGGACTTCGGCCTATTATGGGGGGTTCTCCTTACGATATCGACGCAGAGCCTGGGCTATGGAATTGCTGGAATGCTAAGAAGATTTCTCGGTAAGTTGTGTATGATTTCCAAGGTTACAGATTCATTCATTAACTTTACTATCATCGATCCAGTCTATCCAGCTTCCATGATTTGGCCGGGAAACCTCGTGGGAGTTACCTTGATGCACGCCATGTACGGGCAGAACGAGAAGAAGGATCCCACAATAATGGGTGGCTCAATTCCTCGGTACCGGTGGTTTGCCTACATCACCCTCGGCTCTTTTTTGTACTACTTCATCCCCGGTTTCTTTGCACAGTTCCTTAGCTCTTTTGCCGTTGTGACTTGGATGGCACCAAACAATCCTGTCGTCAACCAGTTGTTTGGCTACTCGACGGGCCTCTCCCTGCTTCCGATCACGTTCGATTGGGCGCAGATTACGGGATATGTTGGCTCGCCTATGGTGCCTCCATGGTAAGATCAAATGTCACCACGCCTTCGACTCTCTAAAAGGCGATGCTAACACTCCAGTTAGGCACGCAATTGCCAATACATTGGCCGGCGTCGTGATATTTTTCATAGTTGCCGCCAGCTTTTTGCAGTACACTGGAGCGTGGTACGGTAAGTACCTGCCGATGAGCGACTCCAACGTCTATGACAATACGGGCAAGACATATGATGTTTCACGAGTCCTTAGCAAGGAATTTACGCTCGATGAGGCGGCGTATAACACTTACTCGCCTCTGTTTCTCAGGTACGTTGCGCCCCCTCCCTTTTGGTGTGATTCAACCTACAGCTGTGATCTAACGTGAGCATAGTACGACATTTGCCATAGCGTACGGTTTGTCCTTTGCTGCCATATCCTCACTGATAGTGTACACGTACCTACATCATGGGAAAACAATCTGGAGACAATGGAAAAACAGCACCAGCGAGAGGCCTGACGTGCATATGAAGATGATGAGGAAGTACAAGGAGGCCCCGACGTGGTGGTATATGTCGCTGTTTGCAGTGGTGAGTACGAATTTTTGCCTTGACTAACACATAACATGTAGAACTAACCACTGTGCATCGAACTAGATGCTCGCCCTAGGCTTCTTCACCGTTCTCGGCTGGCAAACCAACCTCACATGGTGGGCCTTCCTCCTCGCCGTCTTCATCTCGTTCGCCTTTTCCCTTCCCATCGGTATCATCCAAGCCGTCACCAACAACCAAATCGGCCTGAACGTGTTGACCGAGTTTGTATTTGGATACATCCAGCCAGGCCGCCCTCTAGCACTTATGATGTAAGAGGCCTCCCCCCTTTCTTCTTGCTCTCTGTCCCTTTTATCCATACCTAACTAACCAAAACCGCACCCCTTGCAAAATAACAGCTTCAAAACCTTTGGCTACATAACCATGTCCCAAGCCCTCACCTTTGTCGGCGACCTCAAATTTGGTCACTACATGAAACTTCCCCCCCGCGTGCTCTTCTCCGCCCAAGTCGTCGCCACCACCTTCTCCTGCATTATTCAAATCCTAGTACTCAACTACGCCCTCCGCACTATCCCCGAAGTCTGCACCCCTTCCCAACCTCAACACTTCACCTGCCCTGGCGGTCGCGTCTTTTTTTCCGCAAGCGTCATCTGGGGCCTCATCGGTCCCGCCCGGATGTTCTCCCCGGGCCAGATCTACTCTTCTTTGTTCCTGTTTTTCATCCTGGGAGCCGTCGTGCCCTTGGTTATTTGGTTACTCCTCCGTCGTGCGCAAAAGCGGAATCCGCACACAAAAACATGGCTGCGCTACGTCATTGCGCCCGTCATCTTTGGCGGTGCGGGCTCTATCCCGCCTGCGAGTCCGCTGAACTATTTGAGTTGGGGCATCGTCGGGTATGGGTTTCAGTACGTGGTGCGCAAGAGGCACTTTGGGTGGTGGAGCAGGTTGAACTTCTTGACAAGTTGCGGGCTCGATCTGGGACTGGCGCTGGCGACGCTGGTGGTATTTTTCGCCTTTACGATCAACGAGATTAGTCCGCCTAGTTGGTGGGGAAATGACGTGGTAAAAGGCACGTTGGACTTCAAGGGGATGGCGGTAAGAGAGAGAGTGAGGGAAGGAGAGACATTCGGGCCGAGGGTTTGGGCTCTTGGAGGAGGAGGAGGAGGAGGAGGGTCAGGGTAAAATACTACGACCGTGTTATACTAATACAAGCTCAGAGATTTGGGGGAAACAAGGAAAGACGGAAAAGAAAAAAGTGCCAGCCAACAGATAGCCCAACCAGTCATTTCGTTCACCGGCCAAGTAGCCTGGTCAGTACCTCTATGCAAATCCCGCGGTGTCATCGATGCACGCTATCGGCTGCAGTGTCCCTTTCAGTTTTCAAGTTGAAAGAAACCCGGCCACATGATCTGCCCCGTCCGAGAATCAAACTTGAAGTCGGACGGGACCACGGTGGGAGATGCAGAGCTGATAGCGGGACAAGTGGCTGCGCTATCCGACCAGAACTGAATTGAACTGGTCAACTGGTTATTGGCTGTCAAAGAGGTACCTGTACGTAAGGTTCGTAGAGGTGAGAGAGGGAAAGGGAAAGAGAGAGAGAGGGGGTGGGGGGTTTATGGGGTTCAGTTGCCTGCAGTGAGATGGAAGGAGCGGCTGCCGGCTGGGAGAGGCGGAGGAAGGAAGCGTACGGTGTTTCTTGTTTCGGTTCAGTTGTATACCTACTTTGAGCAAGTGAACTGAACTGAAGATTAGGTACTAGTCGGGTACACCAACAGTGTGTCTGTCTCGTACTTACCTCTAGTACCTATACATTCAAGAGTTCGTCGTTGGACAACCTCTGGCTGGCTACCTCTACTGATTTCCATCTCAGTTCCTAGCTGCTATCCGCAGCACAACCTTGATGTGGACTGTACTTACCTCTACACTACAATGCTTCGAAGAACGCGGCCGAGTTCTGAGTTTCATAACATTCGGGCCCAGGTCCATCCTCGCTATGTACAAATTACAAGTAAGCCACTAAAGCCCCCCGCCTACCTACCAATTTCGTCTCCAGAAGTTTGTGCAACAACAGACTTTGCCTCCTCTAGGTACCTACGGTACAGTCAGCCATGGCATTCCAGCCGAGCCGCATGCGTAATTCCCCCTCCTTATCACCAAGGTGCTCCTTCCCCCGTCCACGCCCACGTCCGATATCCTTGACACGGGGCATATCACCCGCCTCCCCCATGCTTAATGCCGCTCTTATGGCACGATGTGACCAGCCACCGTCCTTTCAGTGCCGTATCTCCGCCGTTGTGCGGTGTCTTGATCCTCCAGCTATTGCGTCGATAGCGCTATCTTTGAAAGATCGCGATGGAGTGCTCTGCCGCTTTTCTTTCGTGAGACGACCCTTGAGTGCTGAATATTTTGGTGCCTTCACTCTGTCTGGAGCAGTTGCAGTTACTACTGTACTGGACGATGGTGGACAGATCGTTGGCGAAGTAAGCACCACAATAGCTTGTCGATCTGTCAACAAGACTCGGGAGTTAGCAAGCAACAAACATTTCTCATCGCTTAGATTCCATCTGAAACAAAAGCCGTATGATCGGCGTTCTCCAGAGAGATATCAGGAGCGATTTGATATCAGGAAGAACAAGCAAGAAAACTGCTACAGAGTACTGTGGCCAAACATACCACCTTTCATCAACTGAACAAAAAAGGGCCACCGCAACCCGCACAAACGGCATCGCACATGATTGCTTTTCTTCGGCACCTTGACAGGGGTTCGTCCGAAGCTTTCAAACAACCCCTGGATGATTGCCCAACAGCGGTAGTGGTGAATTGGTGGCTTTCCTTCAATGAACCGTTGGCATGCCGACCAGGCCGACCCAACGGCCGAGATTCTCTTCATCCCTTGTGACTTGCGGGACCTTGCATGGCAGGCGATGCGCTTGTCAGCCCAGCAATCGACCAGCCCTTCTTCTGAAAAGGCAAAATATGACAGGCTGATCATCTGCTTTTGCTTCGAGCTCAGCTGTTTCCATTTTGTTGCCGGGGCTTTTATACATGTGTTTTATGTATTTGTTCTTTTTTTATTCGCCAATTCTCAGCTCCTGAAATTGCCAATGAGACCGCCACATCGTCATTGGATGTTGTGTATCAGTGAGAACTTCTTTCCATCCCGCCAGTCTGGGACAAGCCACCTTGTGGAAGTCTTGTGTTTGTGTATCAACACCGCATGTTTCCAAGCACACAAACTAATATCTCCCGCTTTCCCGCGCCAACTCCTGTCGCTGGACGGGACACTACAGAGAAGTGAGTTCTGTGTGCTCTTCTCGTTGGTTAACTTATCATAGTCGATCTGTACCATGCCTCGTTCGCCAGTTGCCGGAATGAAACTCGGAAGAGTGCGTTGCGTTTGTTGCATTCGAGCTCTTGTACAATCCAGTACTGGTTTGTTTGTTAGCTCGGTACGCTACCTAAGTACTGTACCGTACTCTGTATACTACATAGACGAAATCTATCCCGAGTAGTCCTCAACTTCGAAAAAACAAATCTAAATGGCTAGTACGAAGAACAAAAGGCATTAGCAGGATTTAATATAGCATTTTGAGTATTAGAAATAGCGTATCTAAGGTAAGATTACGCATGAATTAGCTATGAAAATGCATAGGGAAGTTGACACAAGGTCTCGAACTAACAAACAAACCAGTACTGGACTGTAGTTTCGATGCGCAAGTTTGATATTGATGGGATAACAATAACCAATTTGTCGTTTGTGTGTGAAGCTGGGATGGAAGGAGAAAGGGGCCCATGATACCACGTGAATGAATACATGGCCATTCAATTTTCTCCGTTTCACTCCAGCCGTCCCTGTCCATCCGATAGATCCTGGTACACGAGCCGAAGAATAACCATCAACAAACAAATGCCCAAACTTTTGATATAAAACGTGCGTCTTCACCTCTTCTCAGTACTTTCTCGTCGTACCGATGCTTGTGGATGCGAAACCTTCCTATCGACTTTGGACACACATATAGCGTTCCGCGTGATCGATCGATATCATCAATACCGTCCACATCTTCTACATCGAAACTGAAATTTCGTGTGGCCAAGCACCCAATACCGATATCATGGAGAACTTTCGTATCGGCAAAGACGCCACTTTGAACCTGAGAATGGGCATCACTTACTCAGACGACCAGACCCCGGAAGAAGTTCACCCCACATCGGTGAAAGATGGCCAGTCTCTGATTAACCAGGTCATTGCTGCCACGGGGCCGAAGGCGCATCCAAGATTGGCACAGATCATGCCCAGTCTTGTACGGCATCTTCACGATTTCGCCCGAGAAGTCAACCTGACAGTCCCGGAGTGGAAGGCAGCCGTTGAAATGGTGCGTGATTTCCGATGCGCCTGTTTCGCGATCACTTTGGCTGTTTCTGACCAACATTCCATTTAGCTGAATGAATGCGGCCAAATCTCCAACGACCGACGCAACGAAACGCAACTTCTCTGCGACATTCTCGGCCTCGAGTCTCTCGTCGACGAGATCACTTCGAACCTGCTCGCCAGTTCCAACGCCGGCACACCATCAGCAGTCCTGGGTCCGTTCTACAGGCACAACGCGCCTCTACTACCCAACGGCAGCTCCATCGTCAAGAACCTGACGCCCGAGACACCTTGGTTCAGCCAAGCCATCGCAGACTCGGCCTACATCACAGGCCGCGTCCTGTCCACCGACGGCAGGCCCATCCCCGGTGCTATTGTCGACACCTGGCTTGCCGCGCCGAACGGACTCTACGAGCAGCAGGATGAGTCCCAGACCGACATGAACCTAAGGGGTCGGTTCAAGACTGACCAAGATGGCCGCTTTGCGTTTTATGCGCTGCGGCCGACTTCTTATCCGATTCCGTTTGATGGTCCCGCGGGCAGGTTCTTGACCTTGCTGGATCGGAACCCCAATAGGCCGGGTCATATCCACTTCGTCGTTTCGGCACGAAGACATCGCCCGCTGACGACGCAAATCTTCGATAGCCGGGACAAATATCTGACGGAGGATGCGGTTTTCGCGGTCAAGGATGAGTTGGTGGTCAAGTTCTTGCCTCATAAGGGAGACTCTAAGGCGCGCTGGTATCTTGAGTATGATTTCGTTTTGAGCAGGGAGGATTAGGCCTTAGAGTATGGGAGAACGCAGTAGGTCGGCGGATGGTATAGAGCTTTGGGGAGGCATACAATGGCGCATAGGTTGATTCTGTATATCGGTGTTCCTTTGTTGGCAAAGATCCCCTGGCCACTTCGTTTTAACAGGCTTCATTCAGATGGCTCGTCTTCAACCATCGATGGAGATAAGTATAATCAAACCTTTCCTCCATTCATAGTTTGGCTTCAGACGAGTTGAGCTTAAACCATGGCTATCGCCGCGTTCGTAGAGCCGGATAGGCCGTCAGATCTGGGGTTAATTCAGCGTCGCTACATCCTTATGATGATGTTAACCCATATTTGAAAAGTGATAGATTGGCACGCTTCCGCGTAACCCTGACGATGGTATATGTGGATCGACCCGAAGAGGATATGACTCGTATGGATCGGACGAAACAGCCGTGCTCGGGGGAAGAAACTGTGGAGCGATATGAGCCAGTTCAGGTGCTGTTGAAACATGCGGCGTGAGCTGTAAATAGTTGTTCCAGAGTTGGTCGAATTCCCACTCGTCAGATACTTCAGGGGGCGAATGAGTAAAATGACCAGGGCGTAGGGCGAGTGGAGGTGCCATAGGTGGAGTCGTCGATGATACTGTAGACATTCCGTTCATTACCACTCCCGGGACAGTGGCTGAAGGGGTCGGGATAAATACATTGGGAGCCTTCTGTGGCCGCAAAAAGGATGGTGAAGGCACAAGAGGCTGGTGTGAAATGCTGCCTATTCTTGAGCCTGCTGGGTCCACGGGACTCGGGACACTCGGAGCTGAGCTGCCATTCTCCCGTGACATGCGAGAACTGGATGCTTTGGTATAAAGGCAGCTAAGGTCCGCTGAGAGGACTGGAGCGGCATGCGAATGATCCTTAGTCCAGGTCTCAACCACTTGTGCAAAGTTTTCCATTATTTCGAGCACCCTCTCTGCTTGTGGGTCAATTTCTGCACAGTATTTCATGGTTGAAATCGCGTCGGTGATAGTCTTGTTATATGTATCGGCGTAGTAGAGTGAGGTGAACTGATTCATAAGGACGATGAGGCTCGCAGCGAAGAGGAAATAGCTGAGACGCGTCAGATCAGATTCGAATGTATCATTAAGGATCAAAACGGATCTGACTTACATGAAGAAAGGATTTCTTTGTGGGAGATACCCATCCTCTCTGGCATGTTGTATCAATTGAATAGTCTGGTAAGATGCCACAACACAGGCTTCGGAAAATTTGGCCATATGAGACTCTCGGTTTAAGGGTGGGTTTGCCTTCCCAGAGCGTTGTTGGTCGAGTTTCCAGTTGTGCATAATGAATATTTGCCTGGTCAGGAGAATAAGAGAGTGCAATGACAGGAGATTGGCGTGAAGAGCAGCTATACCCTGCTCCGGGCTTGTCGGGCCTTCTCGTGATTGCTGCGGCGTCAGGTTTGCAAGTGAGGGCCGCCTCCAATATTTGGCCATGTTCGCGATATCCTGGACAACCGAGGTGGAGATCTTTCGCTTTGAAAACACACGGAGTGTTACGCCAATGACACGGCATGATTTAACACAGGCATCGAGGCATCCAAAGTGCAATGACTCGGGTCCATTTTCCCCTACGGTTGATAAGTCGGCGATATCATCATTAGTAGTAAGTTTGCATGAGCAATCCTCTTCAACGATGGCAACGGGTCTCCCCAGGGATGCGGCAAGGAACCGATCGAGGATAAACAACGTCTTCCATAGATTCCGTCTCACCTCTCTTTGCGTCGATTCTGGGTAGATAAGCGGATGCATTGTCTCCTCTCGATGGAGACCTAAGGCATAGGCAGACCGCACAGCCATGCCTGGTATTGATATGTCAATCCTATGATCCGAGTTTGGGGGCAAGACTAGGGAATCTCACCCAAGTATGCATATGCAGTATTTCGTTTGGAAACCGTGAGCATGTAAACAGCCATCAAGCAAAGTGCTTGAATAGACCAAAAGTCGGCATCTTCGAACCCGTACTCGGGATCGCACATGGACTTGGCACTTCGATAGAAGAGTTCTGCCATATCCTGCTTTGCGTCGTACAGTTTCTTGATGATCTCCTCTTCCCGGCTGCCTGGCTGAGGGGCCGAAAGAAGCATTCCCAATGCGAGTACAAGGAAAAGGTGACATGTCGAATATCTGCTGGCCGATAGGGGATCAGCGTAGATGATTTCGATACTTTCGCAAAATGATGACTTGTCAAAAACTTCGATCAAGCCCCGTGTCTAAGAACCCCGATTAACAACCATTCAAGATTGACAAGCGTCGCTACTCACATTCGTAAAATACGACTCAACCAGAACGTGCACGGTTTCTCTGTCCGGTAGGAAGCATGGGAGCTTGGTATTTTCAGGAAAATCAATAATGTTTTCCATGATTCGGTGCCGCTTCGGATCATGAACAAAGTCGGACCCTAGGATCGGCCCCGCAGTACTCTCGACGATGATGCGAATCAGTTGTAGGATAGAGAGAGTAGACGAGTCCCCGATATAGACTTACAAGTCAGCACTACAAAACCAAGGATTAAGTGAGCAAACTTACGGAGTCGACCCGTCTGATCCTGTAACATCCTGGTTTCGGTATAGATAGTTGCTTCCTCTGCTTGCCCGTATGTACTGCTTCGGCCAGAAACATTTCCCGAGCTGTAAAGGGACGTTTTCCCGGGATGTTCGAGCGAAGCTGAAGAGAGCGGTTCCGCCAGGCCGGACATGGAAGAGTTTTCCCTTCTTAGACCCCGACTCCGCACCTCATCCCATGGCCGATTGAAATCGGTACTCCCAATATTGGTCAGAGGCCTTGTTGAGGCGTCCAAAGCAGCTGGGATGGCTTGTGGTGAAGGTTCTCTCGGCTTCCGTCTAGTAGGGGATCCGACGGTTTCGCCTGCGCCGTGCTCTGGGGCGCTGTTTGGGGTGTAAGAGCAGTTCAATCTTCTCTTCACACAGGTCTGACAGGGCTTTTGACCATTGCACTGCCAAAGAATTGTATTAGTGCATGCTCGAAGGAGTGCTCTTTAGTGTGTATTAAGGTCTATGGAGGCGAGCGAACTTCAGGAAGACGAGAAGATCGCGAATAAATAGTGCTTGAATAAGAGTCTGAGAAGCGATAGTATCCATCGGAACTCAGAAAGGCCCAGAAAGATAAGAGGATGTTGTATCCCAGCCGCATACGGAAATCGGCTGACTCGGGAGGCTAATGATAAGGGTGCTGCGATGGGTCTGTGGCACCCAGGGCATAATCTGATACCCGAGAGTAGGATGCTTGTAAGAAGAGTTATGGCTTGGGGCAGACATTGATCCGGCAAGCAACATGAATGAAATCGGATATCTCAGCCTCTCGAACCGTGGGCGACAGAGAACCGGTGAAGATAGATAGAACAAGTCGAACAAACAACGAACCTTTTGCTTCCGCCGTTTGCAAGAGTCACAAGCCTGGGCTGTCCGTTGACGCTTGTCGTCAGGCACTTTCGGTCGCGTCATGACGAAATAGGTTAGGGAGTGATAAGCACAATCATCCCTTGGTCGGGTGGTAAAGACTCTTTCTGAAACGGGATAGAGGCGAGAAAGCACACAACGTGGGACAGGCCGGAGGGCGGAGCGGGGGTTCAACGAAGTCGCGGATACTGGGCCTCGACTGATATGGGAAGCGGAAGCGGCGCGGTGGCCGTTGGGTAACGGAGCGGATGATGCACGGGTGGACACCCCGGTAGCAAAGCCGGGAGTGGAGCGAAGATGATCGGAAGATGCGTATCAGCGTATGTAAGGTCGCCCGGGGGTTGAAGGGTTATTGGAGCTCGTAAAGACAGATTCTGGTACCGGAGGCTATTGGCACGATCCGATACGCCGTGGCCGGGCCGGGGTGATGGATCTGGACTTTGTCGTGGCCTAGAGCCTAGTTGCTTGGAGATCGGTGCTCAAACGTAGAACACCTTGGACGTGTCACGCAACATGGAGCCGTGATCAGCAACGAAGCTAGAATCCGGAGCAGGGTGCGAGTTGTTGGATGATTAAGAAAAAGCGAGGCAAAAGCATCCTTTACGGGGCGGAGGAGACACGAAGAGGAGATGGGAAGAGAGGGACTCGGCTCCAAGTGTCTGTTTGCCTTCTCGTACTGTCTGTCAATGGTTCGTATGTCGTAAAATGGATAATCGATCTGTGGTTTGTCCATGTACCTAGCACTCGAGCGGTTCTGTCGCTTTGCGCCCAAGGATACCCAAACCCAAATAAGTGCTCGCATAGGTCTTTGTTAGGTAGGTAGGTAGTTTTAGACAGTGACGAGAAGGCTGGCTCAGTTAGGCATGATTTCGGACTTGCACGCATGGAGGAGAAGGTACCGCCATAACAGGTACAGCCGGACGGACGACTAGCGTGGCAGCTGCAGCACTACCTTGCCGATATTGCAATTAAGTACGGGAAGCGTCCAGATGTCGAGACTCCAAGCTGAGTCGACAGAGCAATAGCTCTGCTAGAGGCCGGGCCGTACCAAAATAACCTGCTGCTTCTGTGCACCGTATATTTCTTGTGTCGAGAAACCATGGTCCAGGACGCCGTGCAGGGCACTCAAATACCTCCAGGTTCCGATGACGGCTGTACCGACGTTGTAGTGCCTTCTGTACATACGTACAGCAAGTTGTACAACAGATAGACCGAACATGTCCTTGGTCCCCGGCCACCGTCACCGCATGTCTGTGTGCTTGACGGCGAGGCGCCAAGCGAAAGCCTTGGTATTGGATCACGGAGAAATAATGGCACTGAAGGCCCTGAGCCTGACGACGGAGAGGCTTGCCTGTGGCGTCCATTGAGAGACGGCCAATGCCATCAGCGCCACGGACATGATGCTTCCATCATGCTCACCTTTGTGAGTGGCATACGGTGCCCGTGTCGGAATCAGCACTGCTCCCAAGGGCCTCGGGAATCCTGTCTCGCCTGTTTTCGAAGGCAGAGGTCAGCTTCGGGAACACAGCCGGGGATTGATACGACCAGGGCTGCAAGGAATGTCCCATATCTGGTTGCCTCAATTCTGTGTGTTCTCAGCTCGACCAGGCCGGCTGTCCCGTCTAAGAAGAGGTCCGCGACCATGCTCAGTTTCCAAGTCCATAGGAAGGTGTTTTCATGTTTGCCCAAGGTTGCGGCACTGGCGCCTTGCAACTGCAAGTTTGTGCAGCGTGATACATTACGTCGGCTGAACCCGTTTCTTCTGTTCGAGTCTTGGAATCGAGAGGTAGGATCCGTCAAGGAAGCGCAAAGTACCCAACTTGAAGGGTGGTTGTGTGTTGACGTAAAGAATATGTAGACAACCAAAAACTTTTGTTGGGTTGAAGTTGAAGTTTGAAGTCTTGAGGTTGGAAATCTGACGGGAATGAGACTGAGAAATGGAAGACAGGAAGTGTGGGTCTAGACTAGAGCCAGGTGAGGTTTCTCTGAGAGTGGAGAGAAGATCCGCCGGCTAAGTGCTGTCTCTGCTCTATGGATGACGGAAAGGGTCCTGTACTTCGTCGGATAATGCACCTAGACTCGCCCCTGGGCTAGGTGTTTCCGCCGGCCCTTCCGTCCGGGCCTTTACCCGGGGCATCATCTGACATGCCATCTTGGAGTCACAACATCATGGGTGTCCTCGAGTTCTTCAAAACATCCAACATCATCAGTCCAATCATCAACAACGGACGCTGATTACATGTCCACGAGGCAAGTAAGAGCTGATTTTCAACTTCTCATCCCGCCCCGGCAAAAGAAAAGACCGGAGAGCCCTCGAGATGTAGTATTGTGGATGCGTAGTAGTGTAAGTGATGAGCATGTCGAGGGATTATGGTGAATGCTGACCTTAACAGTTTCCCCGCAAATATCTTGGACGTGCCGTTAACGATTACATTACAACCACAACTCGGAAACCTCCTGATCAAGTCCAGCTTGATGATCCAACACATGAGTTTCCCGTTTCTGGACTTTTGCCGGAATACCACACTTCATTGCCTACCAATCTTGGTGCTGCTGGCTTGCTTCGGCAATAACTCGTCAACAAGTCCTGATAAGCCCAAAACTCCAACCTCTTCCGACCTTCTTCGAGTCGAGATCATCTCTCTCACTCTTGAAATGACGCGTGAACCATGAATGCACATTGGTAGTTTCCTATCACCCACTTCATGCTTTCGGACATGGATCGCATCGGAGCATGACCGGTGGAAAGGAAGGAAGCTGGCAAATCACTTCCAAAGCCTCCCCGGCATCTCTATACGTAACTGCTTTAACCATGCAAAACTAGTCCGCCGATACACGCGTCTCACTCATCACCTCAAGTCACACCTCGACAAGGCGAATAGAAGGCATCTGAATCCGATCACTTCGCAGCGTAAAGCGAAGAAAAAGTCGATCAGTCGTTTTTACTATGGCTTCGGATACTTCTTCACGTTCGGATCGACAGGCATGAGAGTAGTTTCAGGTTGAATGCAGATTTCGAGGGTTGGGTGACAGGGTCTTTGAGCCTAGTTCCATGTTCTCATCTTTCCGAGGCCAGTAGTTCGCTCAGGTTTTGCTATTCTTCATTTGCGATGCAATACCCGGTCCTTACGGGTCGCCCCTTGGAGTCTGGAAACACGGAATGTGACACGGCCCAGCTCCGGCAAAGCGTTCCAAGCCCCCAACTCCAAAGCTTGCCGGGTGAGTACACTAGAGGTTTGTCTTGAGGCGGCTCTTTCTGCCTTCTGGATATCAAAGCGCAACTGCTACGCCAGGTGTGACCGGACTTACCTTGTCCAGTCTCCCAGAGACCATCAGAAGAAGGGCAAAAACTTTCCTCTACGTGCTGAGAGCCCTTATTACATGGCTGTTGAGCTCCCACACCTGCATCTAAACCCTTTGAAAATGACATTATTCGAAGCAGCTTGTGGTTTGTCCAAGCTACCACGGGTCGCCCCCAGACTTCAACTGTTCAACATGCGGTGAACGTGCATGCAAGATACCAGGTACCATAACTCCTCGGTTACTCCCTACAGGCCAACACTCGACATCACACACGGATCCCCCACGTCTGGGAACGGTCTCAAGCACCCAATGTGCGGGTAGATGGGTGCGGAGTGCAGCACACTCGCCGCACGTTCATCTCAAGCTGGGGTTTATCTGGTGTGACCGGCCCAAGAGATCCAAAAAGATAACAGCCTCTGCCGCTCCCTTGCCCCCAGAAACTGCCCCCCCGGTCGAGTGCAGCGTAGTAGCGTGGCCCTTCTTTACCTCGTGACGGCGTTCCGAAGAGCCGAGGGCCAGTATGCTATTCAACCTCTTAGAGACGGCCGAGTTACCCCCCATTGGCATTCATGTCCTGCCAGGTCCCGATGGAACTGCCGGGACATTATGTCCTTGAAACAGAATATCCAGGTCTCGTGCAGAATCTTTGTCGATGCATACTAGTCCGAATGTGCATGTCATGATGTTTTTTTTAAAAAAAAAAAAAAAAAGGTTTGGATGCCTCACTAGCCTCGCGGGCTTCGCTAGGTAGCTACCTAGGTAGATATATCTATGGAATAAGTTGGGATCGTTAGTCGGATGAACAGCGTCTGACCGCACCCCTTTGCTGTTTCACCTAGCACTTAGTTCCCTTAGGTCTGTTTGATATGACATGAACCAGAAAATCATAGCATTTGAAGAGACGTGGAAGCAACCTTGATGAGGTCATGGTGGGTAAAATGTGTTTGGGAGCTCGGGGTAATATCAGACTAACACACAGATCACATTTCCCTCTCATATTTTTCTGTTGCCACTTCTTCTCTGAACCAGTCCGCTTCCTTCGTCGACCAACCGGATTCAAACCATATCTTGAAGAGTGGAGCGGTAATAGGTCCCTTCACTCATATTCCCCCGCCTGCCTTTGGTCCGATGGATGATACCTCGACATTGTACGATCATGGGGACTGGTCAGTGAACAGTGCTCCTCGGTAACCTTTGAAGCGACCTTGGAAAGCGAGAGCGCAAAGTGAACACTGGCCATTTACTTGGGAAACCTTGAAGTTTTGCACGGCAGGTGTGTTATAAAAGAAACCCATGGCTGCAGGAATTTCCGAACTCTTCCCTCTTCTCTCTCCTTTACCACGAAACTCCTCAACTGTAATTTGCACATGCCTAGTATGCGTGTCTCATCCACCCAACCCGATACTCTGAGCACCGGTGGTCACTCAGCATCCAACAGCATGGACAGCTCGGCTACCCGACCTTATTCTGTCGCCACTGGCGCATCAGAGGCCTTTGACGAGCTTTTGAAGCAATGCAAAGGTCAAATCCCCAAAGAGTTTGGCTCCTATTCCGGCAACGTTACGTTCGTTCCTTCCAACCATGGGGATCAAGTGTACTTCCCGAGCCCTTGCCGAGAACAAGATGCCATAGCATCCATCAAGGCCCTTGAGGCATGTGCTGCTGCTGCCATTGGCGACCTTCGTCATGGAAAGAACTCACGATCGATCAAAGTGGATCTCGACAAGGCAGCCTGCTTCCTAATGTCGGCTTACCTTGCTACCATTGACGGCAAGCGCAAGGGTCAGACTCCGAAGGGGTTGATTCCAGGTAAGGCATCTTCACTTGCGACTCCCATGTAGCCAGTTGTTACTACATAGGATCAAGAACGCCGCCATCTCACTAACTTGGACTATAGACACCGACTACAATCAGGCTCAGTCCATACAGTATCGTCGACTTTCCGCGAATCTCTACGAGACCAAGGAGGATGGCAGATACTACCATATCCATGGCTCACTCGACGCTACTACTCAACTCCGCATGATCGGCCTTCCGCCTTTTAATCCCCGATTGACCGACTATCAAAAGTGTATTGACACAATTGAAGCCGCCGTGAAGAGATTTACTGTCGCGGAACTGGAGGATATGAATAGCAAGCACGGACAAGCTGGTGTGGAGGCCCTTAAGTGGGAAAATTTCCTGGAAACCACTCACGGAAAGGTCATATCGGCATTGCCTCCCTTCACAGTCGAGGCCATCAAGGTACAGCAAACGACGGTACCGGAAACTCCGCCACACACACCCACGGAGACGAACTTCCAAAGCCATCTCTGGCCGAAGGTGCCCGCAAATGTCTCTCAGTACGCTTTGTGTGGCATCAAAGTCATCGAGATGTGCCGCGTCATAGCCGGTCCGACCATTGGCCGCTCACTTGCCGCCCACGGGGCTCAAGTGCTCAAGGTGACCGGCCCCAAACTTCCTGATGTGCCCTTCTTCCAAGTCGACGTCAACACCGGCAAGCACACTACCCATCTTGATCTTCGCAACCAGAATGATCTCAAAACATTTCGGAACCTACTCGCCGAAGCCGACGTTCTCATCGACGGATACCGGCCCGGCGCCCTCGCCAAGTTTGGCTGCGACCCTCAATCGCTGGCCAAACTAGCCCAGCAGCGCGGGAACCACGGCTTCGTCTACGTAGCCGAAGATTGCTTCGGCGGAACAGGTGTACCCGGAGCCGAATGGGCCGGCCGTCGCGGCTGGCAGCAGATCGCCGATTGCGTCACGGGCATCGCGTGGGCGCAGGGCCAGTTCATGGGACTAGAAAACGAGCCCAGCGTGCCGCCCATGCCCATGTCGGACTACGGCACCGGCGCTTTGGGTTGCGTGGCCGCCATGGCAGGCCTGTACCAACGCGAGACTAAGGGCGGGTCGTGGATGTGTCGGACCAGTCTCTGCCAGTATGACATATTCTTGCTCAAGCTGGGACTGCTTCCGCTTCAGGAGCAGGAGCGTCTGAAAACGGTGTTCGCGGGCCCGTTCTTCAAGTTGCGACATTATGACTCTGTCGACAAGGTCAGTGGAGAGGCGCTCAAGGCTATACAGCGCGCGTACCCGCATCTGTTTAGGCCGGATTTGATGCTGAAGGCGAAGAGCAAGGGCTTCAAAGGCAAGGATATTCGCTGGCCGAAGGAGGCGATCGAGGTGGAAGGACTGCTAATTCAGCATGTGCGTGCCTCAAGGCCGAATGGGTTTGACAGGCCTGGCTGGGAGGGCTGGGAGACTGATTTGATCATGGATGGTGAGGTGGATTTGGCTGAAGATAATGCCGTCTTCACCAACACCAGTGTTACACCTGCGCCGAGAGAGGAACAGCATCAACAACAGGACGGAAGTGGAAGCATGAACTCAGTCCCGCAGCGTCGTAACAGGATTGCGACAATGAACACTGTTCTCGCCACGGCCTAGGAGGAGCGTGTGAGGGGTGGTTCTGAGTCGGCAAAATGAAGCGCAATTTTGAGAGGGAGGGATATTTGGAGTCGTCGAAGGACATCCTGACGGGAGAGAGGATGGTGGAGGATCGATTGTGTGCGTTTCCAAAATCCTTGGCGGCTGAGCGTTGCTTTCTATCACGACTGTTTATAGTATTTCAAGCCAACAAATCAGTAGGCAAGGTCAGCTAGAAGAAGTCTACCGTTTTTCATAGAAAAAGAGGCAGACATTCGGTTCCGTCAGTGTGGTGGAAGAGTGACACTTGAAATGGGTTTATATGTCAAGTTATCGCTACCTAGGTAATGTTCTTCACTTCGGAAACGGATGTTGTTAATGCTATGAGCGAGATTCTGTCCGCCGAGCAACCATGATCTTCAAGTGTATGCTATAGTGATTTGTGGAAACAGAAAAACTATAACAAGGGACCTTGGCGCAGTTGGCTAGCGCGCAGGTCTCATACCCTGTATGATCTGGCTTAACGTCAGAGTAATCCTGAGGTCGGGAGTTCGAGCCTCCCAGGTCCCATGTTTTTGCTTTCTTTTTACATGCTGCAAAATGATTCAAATTACTTGAGCTTTAACATCTCATCATCATTTGTTTCTTTCTTTGTTGGCTCCTTTTCTTTTTCCTCCACTGTTTGCTTTCTGCATGGGTAACTTCCAGCCGACCCAAGGCGGAAGGACAACTCGACACCCATTCATTTGGGCACAGTGTTACAATATATGCTTTTTGAGTACAAATATTCGCTAGTGGTTTGCCAATCATATATCCCCAACCTTGAGAACATTTTGATCTGGGCTTCATGAACAAATACTTGAAGGGGCAAGCGACTCGAGACATGCTGCCTACCTTCGTCAAAGCCTTGGAGTCAGCAGCTTTGGACACACTCCCAAGGTATTGATCCTTAGAAGTCAACTTTCCATTCCTTCCTCTATTTGATTCCATACCATCCGCGTGTTATTATACATATGTTGATGCTACAGTAGTCTATGCAGAACGGTATCGTGTCCTGCGGGTCAGGGGGGCATACCTAACCGCAACTCCTTTCCCTCCCGGCTCACCTTTCCAAGCACGCCCGCTCAATACGCGCTAATATTCGCACTCGGCTTGACATGGACCAACCGATCAATAGCCCTTCCATCATCCAGCGCCCATCCAGAAGTCATGTCCAACTTATACTCCACGCCCCTCAGATAGACCTTGGCAAAGCCCTCACGGTAGAACGACCTCCTGAGGCCATCATACGCCCCGCGAAACACTTTCGCCGCGTCCCTGAACGGCAGGGTAAGCAGATGCTGCATCCTTTCCTTGCGCTCCTTCTCCCTAGCAGCCTTCTGCTTGCTCGCCGCAATGATCTGTCCGGTCTTGGTGGTAGGGAGGTTCTTGCCCACGTTTTTCTGCGCGCTAAGGGTGTTCAGCTTCTCGCACAGCAGCTGCATGCGGAAGGGCATCTCGACCTCGGAAGGGTGGTAGTACTCCTTCTTGTTGGGCAAGAAGGGGATGGCGCGGCTGTAGGCGACCTCGAGGTAAATCGGGGTAGGGGTGGTGACGGGAACGGCCTTGGGCTTGCTGGTGAGGAGCTCAGCCCATCCCTTGGACTTTTTGGTGGAGGCCGAGGCTGCGCCGTCGGTGATCTGGGAGACCACCTGGGAGGCCGGCACGGCCTCGATGTGCCGGATGATGCGCCGCAAGCCCATGAAGAAGTAGCCGCCCATGCCAATGGTCATGGCGCAGATGACGCCGTAGGCATAGGGGACCCAGGTGGATAGGTCCGCCGGAGGGTTGAGGTGGACGCTCCAGTAGTTGTAGAGCGAGTAGGCGATGCAGAAGCTGCCGGTGGTGAAGCTGGCGAAGCGGAACCAGGCGTGCGAGTGAGCCTCGTAGAGGAGGGTCCGGCCCTTCTTCGCTAGCTGTTCGGCATATGAGGCGGGGACAACAGTGGGAGGAGCGGTTACGGTAGTGATGACGGTGGATGACGAGGTCGGCTTCTTCGCTGCCTTCTTAGCCTTGGAGGCAAAGAAGCGTGCCGATTGGGCGGTGCGGAAGCCGGAGCCGGAGCCAGAGCCGAAGACCAGGACGAAACGCGTTCCCGAGGCTTGAGATGCAGTCCTGGCACATGGCGCCGTCCGGTGTGCAAGCAGGACGAATTGGCTGCTGAGCCTACTGGAAATGGAAGCCATGGTGTTGTGTTGGATGACGGGCGGTAGTCCTGTACGGCGCCGGGGTAGCTGCCGGGGGACGGAGATCGGCAACGAGGTTTATGTGGATTTGAGGGCGAGCGGCTCCGGTCCGGGTCCTTGTCAGTTGACGGCGGGGAGGGGAGGGAAACTGGATCACGGTGCGGCCCGGCCACCTGCTGCCGTTTCGTTGCGTTTCGGGGCTTGTACACTACAAAACCGTTCGTCAGATTATCTTCGGACCCGGCCCCGCTTCCAGGTCTCGAATATTTTAGCGGATTCCCCTCAGGAACTCGGTCCGCAATGGGGCTCCGCTGGTGGGGACCGGCTCTTGGCTGCAGGGGAGAATTTGGAGGCCGAAGACGGGCTGACCGGGGAGGACATGGATGTCCCAACCCTTGCTGACTCTACACTACAGTAGCGCGAGGATGATGACAACCCCGGGCAACTTCCATTGAAATTTGGCTCCAGTTTTTAGTGTAGCGCGCGTCTTGCGCAGAGACAGCTGCTCGGGTGCTGCACGCCAGTGATGGTGAAGACGTCGCCCAAAAAAAAAAAAAAAAAAAAAAAAAAAAAATGGTTGCCCAAAGAGGTTTGGGGACATGGGGCGCGGCGGGGGTTCATCGGAGGATTTGGAGGGTGGCCCAAGCTTCCCACGGTCGTTTCCCCAACATGTCGCTCATCGACCCTCACCAGCATCCACAAGCTGGCGACAGCTTTTTCTGGGTTGGTTCCCGTCCGTTTTCTGTCGCCGCCGGGTCCGCAGCCAGACTTCTTGACAAGAAGACAAAAAGATCCACTGCCCGCTGCCCATCCCGTCGACCTCGCGGTGGAATTTAGCATTGAACCTGACTCGTTTGACATACGTCAAGCATAAGGCTCAATTGGAGATCCCCAGCAAGCAGCAACCACGAACCCCATTCTCGATTTCCTTGTTGGAAACCACCACAGCCCTATCGCGATATCCACGTTGACCACGCATTCCACGTCTTCGTTGCGACAACACCACATAATCGTCCGCCATGGCTTCGCTAACAGCAGCTTGTCGCATCTCTGCCAGAATGGCAGGGCGCTCCGTCAGAGGTCGGTTCTCTCGCCTCCCGTCACCTGCCCGTCAACATGATGCATACTATAGGTGTCTTGGAGGTCATCACTTACTGACTTGGAGAAACATGTCATGTAAACAGGTTTCCGGACCTCTGCCGCCGCTCTCGCCGCTCAAAACTTTACCATGCCCGCTCTGTCGCCGACAATGACGGAGGGCAATATCGCGACCTGGAGGGTGAAGGAGGGCGACAAGTTCTCTGCCGGTGACGTGTTGTTGGAAATCGAGACCGACAAGGCCACTATGGACGTTGAGGCGCAGGATAACGGTGTCATGGTCAAGATCATGCAGAACGATGGCGCCAAGGGTGTTGCTGTCGGCGCCCGGATAGCTGTTATTGCGGAGGAAGGAGATGACATTAGCTCTCTCGAGATCCCGGCCGACGCGGCCCCACAGTCCAAGCCAGCCGAGTCAGCACCCTCGGCACCTCCCCCACCGACCACCGCGGACCAGTCTAACGTTGCCGTCCCCGAATCCGCTCCTCAGAAGGCTTCGTCCAAGTCGGCTCCCAAGCCTCCGAAGAGGCAATACCCCCACTATCCTTCCGTCGCCCATCTACTCAAGGTCAACGGCATTGACGCCGCTGCCGTTAAGGATATCACCCCAACCGGCCCCGGCGGCCGTCTGCTCAAGGGTGACGTTCTTGCCTACCTTGGTAAGATTAACGCCCAGACGCCGTCCACCGTCTCCGAGAGGTTCGAGAAGCAGTCGCACCTCGACCTTAGCAACATCAAGGTTGCCAAGAGCACCGAGGCTGTCAAGGCCACTACCGAGAAGGCTCAGTCCAAGAAGCTGGATGCTCCCGCTCCTCCTCCCGTAGCTGTTGTCACCGCGCCTATTTCTCTGTCCGCCGCCATCGATGTTCAGAATAAGCTTCACAAGACCATCGGCGTCTTCCTCCCTCTTTCAACCTTCATTGCCCGTGCCACCGAGATCGCCAACCAGAAGCTACCCCTTCCCGCAAACTACCAGCCTACTGCCGATGAGCTCTTCAACCAAGTTCTCGGTCTTGACAAGGTCACTCGCAAGGAATCTCGCGGCTCCTATACTCCCACATTCGGCTCCTTCGTGGCCCCTCAGCGCGCAGCTCGCAAGGCTGATATCATCGATATTCTCGCCGCTCCCTCCAAGCGCGTTGCTGCTTCTGCTCAGAGCAAGTCCGCCGCCCCCGGTTTGACCACTTCTGGACCCAACGTCTTCAGCCTTCAGGTACCCAAGTCGGAAGAGAAGAGGGCCCAGGCCTTCCTTCATAAGATGAAGCTTGTTTTGGAACAGGAGCCTGACAAGCTTGTACGGGCCTAAAAAAACTTAATGATCTGTTCATTCTTTTTCACTTCATGCGCTCCCTCGATTGCCTTTTATAGAGAGGGAACAAAATGCACATAATGCACATGGGGTTTACTTGCTTGACATATGTTGGTATTGGATTGTATGGAGTAACTTGTTAGCACTAGACTTCCACTTTTATGGCTTCATGATCTAGATTCTCTACTCTTAATGTTCTGGAGGACAACATGCGCTTATGTGCGGACGTTCTGGGCATTCTTAGTTGCGTTTCAACCGCTCGAATAACCGAGACATGATTGCGTATGGTTGGCGTGCCTTTAGCCCATGAGCTCTGTGCTCGACGGTAAAGTTCGCCGCTCGTATGGAGATATTCGCCAGGCCATGTTTCGGTCATTTGATCAGCTCGTACGTCCAACCTCCATGCAGCTCCTATTCATGAGCAGGTACACTGTGACCTGATCTTCACAGGTCATCTATCAAAGTCTCGAGATACGGGAGAAACTGGTTCAGTTCGAACTCGATGCTGACCAAGATTGAAAGCTAGGCCTTCGTCACACCGTAGTAAGGTATATGGTGTATTGGCCATATCAAAGCCGTCATAGTAGAGTTATTCACGTGCGGATACGTTGTCAAAAGATAAGGTCACTGGTTCATCTTATGCCGACAAGTTTTCTAGCCGCCAAGTACACTGGAAGACTTCATGGCACTTTTAGCATATGCGATAGGACTTCCGTAAAAGGAAGAACCAGCTTGTTTTCAAATTATTTCCTCTCAAGGTCTGCCACTAAAGTCTTTCAAGGGGGCTGAGATTAAACCACACTATATATAGAGTGTAGATCTCATCTCGTTCTACACTACCCATCATGTATTCGCAATAAAGATAGATAACAGATGCAACCTTTCCCGCAAAACAAAAAGAATAAGAAAAAAAAACACTCAAGACTCGACTTATCTCACCTTACTATCTCGATACGGTAGAGGTATCCATGCCGACACGACCTTCCTAAAGAGCAAAGAGAAAGCCTTGTTGGGTGCATTGCAATGGATACTGTTCGGAACCACATTTAGGCACTTGATCCGAAACCTCATACGGCGTGTACCAAAAGAAATCGTACCCCTAGGGGAGATTGAACGCTAAAGCCATTTCCTGGTATAAGCCGAGTGAACATTTCCCACATCACGGCGAATTCCCAATGATTGCTATATAGGCCCACCACGTCTACTTACACCCATCATCACAATGTCTGGTCCGCAATCACATATCCCAATATTTCCACTCGTCTGATATGAGGTTATACTCATGTCTCCTACATGTCCAATCACACCCCCGCTTTTACTTCCACTTCCTCGCCTCTCATTTTCTCATCTACCCATCTTGTTCAATCAAGCACTGACCATATCGTTGTTTAATATTCCAAGACCAATTTACCGATTTCTAGTCTCGAGGCTATCTTCGGGTCGGGCACCCAGGACCCTCGATGAAGATCTTTGATACCTTGGCCGGTTTGCCTCCATCCGTAATCAGCTGGCCTGATGGGGCAAATATTGGGAGGACATACATATACCTGGAAAGCTTTCTGAATTTGTGTGATGGAGACCATGGGATATGTGGTATGAATATGCGGGGACGTTAAAGTGAGTGAGGGGAGGAAGACAACGAAGGGGAGAACCGTGTTCGACGTCATGGCCTCTATATCTTTTGATTCTTGGATATGAGCCAAATGCGTTGATGAGCATCCTGCACGGTTGAAGCGACCCGAACGATGAATTAAAGTTCAAGTGTGAGAAATTGCAAAGGGCTTCAATGTCCTGTTGTGAGTAGCTCTGGATCCTCAATCCTGGGACTTTCAAAGCCTTCAATCTTCCACTTTAGGTCCAAGCCCTTCCTAGATCCTCCCCTCACTTACAACCAAGAATAATCTGAATAAGTCTCATGTCTTTGCAGCTTTGAATCTTCTCCAGATCTGGAACTGGAAGCGGCAACCATCCGCTTCGCGAGGCTTCAGAGTTCAAACCTGGTCTGACCAAACCCCCATGTACAACTCGATTGAAACAACTTCAAGACCATGGGCCGCGCGGCTTGTCTTAGACACTCGTGGATAACAAATGACTTGGAAACGGTTAATCTTTTCCATTTACACCTAAGGCTGCGTTTGTTCTCGTACGGTCTTCGTATAGCGCTTGGAAAAGCTCAGTTCACTCAACTAGCTCGACTCAACTCAACCCAACTAAACTCAATTCGATATTCCCAAGGCGAGTTCCAACTTCTCTCTGGACATGGATACTTGATGAAGTGGCCGCTTTTCCGAGTATTAGAAACATCGCACATGGCCCTTTGTACGAAAACCGTACCAGATCAAGCGCAGCCTAAGTTGTGAATTGAGGAGATAAGTATATGGTATCAAGGGTTGTAAGGCACAGCTTTCGATGAAGTCTGTACTTGGCTAGGTTAAGATTGCATACACTAACGAGTAACGAAGCAAAGTTATCTGATGTAATCCTCGCTGTTCTTTCAATCAGAGTAAAATTCGTTAACTTTTCCAGAAAGTTTCCGGTTTCAGGTGTCGGTAAGAGCCCACGTCCACCTACGAATTAGACGTAGAAGCACGCCGAGAATAGAAGTAGACACACAAGGAAGAACATACCTACCTGCAGGATTTCAGAACCCTACAACAGAGTCTTCAGAAACAAGCTGTGACACAACTCACGACATGCAATTTAGTCGGTGCATAAGTTTCCGTCGTACACCTACCTGGGATACCCCTCTGTGTGAAGCTTCAAGGTCAAGCCATCCGACCGGGGACACATCAAGCCAGTGACAAAAGACCGAAAACCAAACCACAACAGTTAGCAGAATAAGATGAGACGAGATGCAATGAGATGAGACCATACTCAGTTCATTATCAGGCCGTTGCCCCGCATATGTCGGTGATGTCAGAAGAAGCTTTGTAAATCTAACTGGGATTAGCATGTATTTCAAGATGTTTGATCTGCCGACTTTGCGCCGCAAGTCTCTTTATGCTGCTTGGAGACTCCTTCGGACACGCGGGTGAAATAAATATATTGTTGTTGGAGTACCCGGTAAGTTCGGATGATGGTGATGATGATGATGATGATGATGATGATGATGACGACTGTCAAAGATGAAGCAGAATAGGACGACGAAGTTTGGATTTCTCGTTCAGAATATCGTTACTTCCAGACTTGAAGTTAGGTACGCAACCAACACAAGGCGGTCATCTTACTAGTTGAGTATTGCAACAGTACAGCCTTGTGTGCGTAATCTAGAATGCAGTGTCATATGGGAAGGTGAGTTGTGTGTAAGTGTAAGCCTGTATCTACGCTCCGTATAACTCTTTCTTCACTTTGTCGTACAGTGCCGACGTAAGTGTTGCCTTGCCAAGGTCCACGTCCCATGTCAAACCGAAAGGGATCCGACTTCGGCAAGCCGGTATTTTCCTATTCATGGTTGCTTTCCGTGATATCGGCGAGATCCTCCCCATTGTGAAACGTGAGTCTTTGTCCCTTGGCAATATCAATGGCGGAAAGGGTGCGGGAAGAAGCGAGACAGCGTCATCTTCGGTTTAGGGTGAGCACCCTTACCTTGCCTTACCTCACTTCAGCCTGCGGTCCCATGTCAACGGTCGATGTAGGCATGTGTTGTCTTGACAAAGAAGATCATGGCATGGTGCCAGCTACTCCCGGTAATCGTACGTTATGGGAGTGGAATCCAGGGAAAGGCTGTCCATTATGGGCGTATTGTGTGATATGCGTTGTTTGTGACAGATTCTTGGCACTCTGTTGTCTTTGTCCCGCGGCGACGACGAGAAGGCTATAGAGCCTCAACTACCATCCTCTAGAACCCTATCGTCCGATACATATGGCCATGTGTATGCGAGCGAAAGAGGTCGTTGCGTTCATGTATCAAGGAACAGCCTTGTCCGGCAGATCTTGATAGCGCTGTTGAAACTTGAACCAAATGATCGCTAACGAGGCGAGCGAGGGTCTATAGATCCCACATAGAGCCTAGTATAGTATCCATTCGTGTCGCAATACTCCAGGCTTTGTCGGTATCGTTCAACTGTAAGCCTGACAATTTCCAACATGAACCATACGCTTCACGGAAACTGGGCATGTCAGACAACTACCAGAAAGACAAGAGGAATGGAATATTGGACGACAGGACCGGAAAGAAAGAAGACGGGACAAAGTTTAAGCCTCTCCCATGACCCCGGAGCCCGCTACATACACCGGGTGGTTCGTGCACCCTCAAGTTGCATTAACCAAAAGGGTGCTAGCTCAATGCAAGAAAGGCCTCACCCACAAAGCAAAAGGGAAAAGAAACCCACTTGCATTGTCTTCCTGCACACACTTCGTAGAACATCCAGATGCTGGCACCCATACTCACTAACCGCCATCCTCTGTCCTGCTTAAAGCTCTTTACACCCTCACACATGGGATGACGCGCATTCGGGAGGGGACATTCCCACCACCCTCTTTCACCATGTCTGTGGCATACATCTAGCGATTTGAGCGGTGAGCAGGTTCGAATTGGCGTATCATAAGCCACTGAGACTCCAGCCGTGTGCGTGAGTTTGGGGGCTAGGGCGCAGGGAGGAGAGGAAGCGGGGGCAGAGAGAGGGAAAACAAGCAAAATCAACAAAGGGGAGGCTGTCCGTCCTAGATCCGCCGAGCGAACGAAGGAAGAGATTTTTCCCACGGGGTAACAGAAAATGAAGCAAGGGAAGGGTGGTTTCGGATGGGTGTTGAAAAAAGTCCATGCCGGCCGTGAAGGTGCATCTACGCAAAAAGTGGGGTGCTTTTGCTCGGGCGCGTGATACCGTTCGTTCGTCTTGATTTTCCAGGGCGACTGACGAGGACGAAAGAGCAAAATCCGAATCAAATCAGATGAGGAGTGTCCATTGATCAGTCCAGCGAATGTCCAGTGTCCATTCAGTCGCGAGCGAGAACAAAACGGAGGACGGAGGAGGACATTGAATGACTCTGGAGCCCCATGTGCTGGGAATCCTTGCTTGTTGCGCAATCCCCATCATGACTTGAGGAATCAGCCGCCCTTGGCGCCCTCGCAGACGTTTTTATGGCCTGGGAGCTCCCGGCTTCCCAGCTCCCAGCCGCGCCAGCCATGTATGATAGGCCTCGGAGGATCTGCCGGAAAATGGGCGATTCTCTCTTGATGGAAGATTGGAGGAATTGGAAGGAAACAACAACAAACAAAAAGAAGAAGAAAAAAAAACACATCGAGATACTGCCACTACTACGACGGCTAGGGTACTTCACTGTTACGACCCAAGTGCACCAGTGGATTTTGAAGGGATAAGTGCCGTATGTACGTCATTGTGGTCTTACTCCGAGAGGTTGAATGCTTCCCAAGAACTCCCAAAGATCCACTCTTTCGACCTGAGCCGTTAATTGATCTGAAGAGCATGGCGCTCTCTGAGATTGACAAAGTTGCAAAAGCCAGGAGATTGTCAGGGCCCTGCTGTTGGGCAGAGCCAGACCGTGATAAAATCACCAGCTTCCATTGGAGAAGCCCATTCGCCTTGACGCTTGAAGAGGGCTGCTTGTGGGCCGTGCGTGCTGTTGCCGTACACTTAGTGCCGTAGGTACTGCCGTCGGAGCCGATGCAAGTCTGGCATGTAGACGAAGCTTCTTGCTACAAGAGATCATCGGCACCGGGCAGCTAAGAGTGGCGCGGGGTTGTCATTGGAAAATCATTTGACCACATGGGCGTCTCAGCATGTCTAACATGCCAAGGGAGCAGCAGTTTGGCTGTTGATGAATGACACTCAAGTCCAGGATCCGATCCCGAACAGACTGTTGTCAGAGACGAAGCGAAAAAAAGGAAAATCTGACCCCGGTTCTGGAATCCCTCCAAGGTTTCAGTGGGTTCGGCATGATCCAGCAAACACCATGGCCGATCTTGTCCATTTGCTTGCGCCTTCATCACCCACGCGGAGCCATGGGTTTGAGATGAGGCGGGAATGGTGACCAATGGAAGCCGAGATTTGACCACGGTCAAGAACGAGATGTAACCATCTTGCGCACCTACCTTTGTCCAAGGCGCATTCACCATTCGTTCCGTCCAACGGCAAGATAGCATCTATGAACGAGGGGGGGCCTTGTCGAACCCCGAGGTATAGCGGGCGGGGACAAGGGACTTGAGCGCAAGTTGATATTTTTCTACACTCTTGTCTATACCAGGGATACAGAAGTAGCCAAAGCGGGAGGCGGTGAGTGCAGAGGCTTCTCTCGCATGCTGCAACGGCGAGGTAGCAGCGCCGGCACTTTGGCGCTTCTGTGATAATTTATGTAGGTGGTGCAGAAGCGATAGGTAGGTAGGGTAAGAATGGGGGTTATAGTCGCATGCATTTATCCGCAACGACGACCAGTGCAATACCTGCGTTCCAGGCATTGTGATGAGTGACACACAGTCGAATTGTTTTCGGCGCCCTTGATCGGATCCTGAGATATAGACTAGGTATACAACAGGTCTGAAGTCGAAACGTGCTGACCACAAGATCTGATTCACTTCCCCGCTCCAGGGCATCAGGCCTTTTGGATCTTGATTTGGCCCATGCGCTCAGTGCTGCGACGATCACCATTCTGAGCTCGCACGGGCCATCTGGGCTTCAGATACAGGCGAGAGTAGAGGTACTTGGCGGATGAAATTTACCTCTAGTCAAACAACGATGAGACCAAAATGGAAAGTAGATCAGATAATACGCATGTTCTCCAGCGACAAGACTGCAAGGCTGAGCAGGAAGAAAAATGTCAAAATATGTGCAATGTACGACAATGAGCCCGGTCCAACCTCTGAACCGTCATATCCAATGGGCCGACCTCGGAAATTGTATTTTCTCGTCACTGTTACCCACTAGTGTAAAAGACCACCAATGACAATACTAGTTGCCTGGATAAGCTACCCGGGGTCAGATATCAGTTGTACTAGCCGCTACCGAGTGGTAACATGGCCCGACCCAAACCTGGAGAGGACTTCCCGAGAACTCCACCACGTACGCCAGAGAAGCACGAGGGGACCTGAGCTTCAATCGAAACCCTATCTGCAATAGGATTCACGTTAACTACCAAACAGAGAGGTAACTAGCGAAATTTGTTCCTGGTGCTTTAAGCTAATGGCATGGCGGCTGTGAAGAATGCCGGCTTGCCGTTAGTCTGTTCAGCCCTCTCAAGGTAGTTATGCCCGACGAAGGATTCGACACACCCAAGCGGAGAAAACAAACTGCTGGGTCTCCAAAGTGTCAGATAACGGTATTGGTTGACTGGACATTGATCTTCCTGTGGCGTTAGTGTCCTGAGGCTGTAGTGTACAGGATAGCCAACCAGGCCAGCCTGAGTTCAAGCCACGTTCGTCTACCCGCCTGGCATGTGAGAGGGGTTGATTCAAAGTCCGTCGAACTTGATTCCCATTTGCTCTCCCCTGGGAGATTGTTTGCCGGTATCTCCCCTTTCTTCGAAAAAAAAAAAAAAAAAAATCGGTGGTTCTCGGTTTCCTCACACATTGTTACGCCCTGTTGCTACATGATGCGTATGTGCTCGCTACCATCTGTTGGGGGGGGCATTGACAGGTCGTGCACCGATGTGATTCTTGCCCAGGTCACCCCGGCAGACATGGATCACTGAATAAAAGCTCCTTTCACCCTGGACCAAGTCCCCAGAACCCTGAGGCCTTGGCTCTTGTCCTGAGGACCTGCTCTGGGTTGAATTCCCTCCAGGGATAGAGGATCGCATTCGTATACAATTCTCGTCAAGACAAAGGCAGCTAGCTGCTGAAGTCCCAAGCAAGGGATGTTTCATGGTCCTTTTCAATGCCATGCAGAACTTGTCGGAAAGTGGGAGCTACGCAGTCAGCAGAGTTTTCCTCGGGATTTGCCAGGACGACGCCAAGTTGGAAGATTCCCATCTCCGATCATACGGGGGGAGGGGACAATGACCTACCTCGAATGGCAGGCCCAGCCTATCACCCTGTCGCCATGCTACGCCGCGATAAGGCCACCGCAATCTTAAATTTGGGGCAGATAACCACTTGATGTCAAGGCATAAAACATCCTTCCAATGGTTGACCACCGCGGCGCTCTCGGCTTGGGCAAGGGGCGGAACGAAAAACTTTCCTACCGAAGTGTTACACTGGTTCAAAGTCAGCAAGAGGGGCTGGACTGCTCCCGACGTACACACACGGGACAGCGACCCGGCGCAACTCGTTGCTTCGAAAAGACTTGGGAATGTTTTCGGATGATGGATTGAAACCGTGAGCCGAGCCTCGACCAAAAGTTGCAGAACAACGAACCATGATGACGGAGCAATCGTGGATAAGTAGTATACAGAAAGAGCAGTTGGAATGCCAGCCTATCTCTGTCGGTATCAGGAGAATGCAGCTGATCTGCCACGCCAGTCTGCCAGATAGTCAACAACCCAAGTCGTCGTGCTGCTTTCTGGGGCTTTTGCATAACACTCACTGGAGCTTCTGGTTCCTCAGCCCCGCACAGTGTTTTGTCACTGTGATCGGTCTCTGGGAACCCAACTAAACGACCGACTCGGAGCCAAAGTCACCCCGCATAACCGAAATCGTGCTACTTAGACACTACACTGCTTTACCCTGATAGCACAAGAGAATCGTGTCGAAGCCCATTTCAGCCTTGGGCGTTTAAAGGGGGCACTATTGATGTCTGAACTGTCGGTCTAGAAAAAGAACACATATGTGGGAGTGAAAGCGGCTCTTCACAAGAGGATACACCTCGCGAGTTCAGGCATGGCCTTTTTTTTGCTTGGTCCGATCGCTGTTGTCCCTATCATAATTCAAAACAGGTTCTACTGCGCTTTTTGGGTAGGTGAAGTGAGACTTGCATTGTGTCCTGCAAATGCACTGCATCTCTGATCTCGAAGCCATCATTGGGTTACCGTATAAACTCGGTTCGTTGATTTTAAACTTCCTGGGAAATCAGGCATACGCAGTAAGCATACTGCAACCTTTATGCCCACCTGAAGTTGCATGCAAGATAGTAATTCAAATGCCCCCACACTCCAACGCCCTTGAGAAAACAGGTAGAAAAGGAAGGGCAAAAGGAGAATCGAATTTACAGTGCTCCGGAGTAGCAACACAACTCCCCCACTTATTTTGGTGGGCATAAAATGCACATATCCGGGCAGTATGCTTACAGATTATGCCTGATTTCCGTGGAAGTTAAAAATCAACGAACCGAGTTTATACGGTATCCTAGGTCTGCTTTTGGCCCGGACTGCGTGAGCGGCTGCTTCAACGCAACTGAAACCAAGGCAAGCCATGGCCAAGAAAGCCGAAAGACAGACACACTTTGGCGTTGTATGACAGCAAATTCCACTGAATTCTCTTGCAGAATTGCTACCTTTGGTCTTTGGAGTCCGAATTTACTGACGCTGTACAGGTACGACGATGACATGTCGGAGGAAAGCGGTCAAGTCAGCACTATCTGCAAGAGACGCAGAGCAAAGCAACATCATCAGAGGATGAGATGTAATGTGGAGGTAGGTACTGTCGACGGGTAGGTAGAGAGGGGGTCCAGATAGGCTATAGGCATGTATATCTGCCCGCGTCTTCCCCGATGAGACAGAGGAGGCTTCGAGCTCGTGCCTCCAGCATTCCAAGTCCAAGTTGAACAGAGTCCGTTCCAAGGTCCGTCCCTGGGTCTTTTCAGTTCGAACAAAAGGACTCTGATACAGGATGTCGTGAAGTTCGGCAATGACAAACCACCTGAAGTGAATCATCCACGCAGCCTAACTACCACGGCTGACGATCATCGACCGAGTCACCTCATCGGTTCGCGGCCTCTTACCTACAACAAACCCCGAGACAGTGGAGACGTGTGTGTGTGTAGTAGCGAGGAGGACGACCGTGCGAACACGAAGAGACGAACACAGGGGAAACATCATGATGGTCCACGGCTTGGGAAATCGCATTGCCTGAAATTGCCTGGGGTAGCAATGGGCAGTTGAACCCACAGCCTGGTTCGGGTTTCCAAGTTTCGTCGCTACTTACCTACACCTTAGGGTACCTACCCAATACCTTGTTAGTGGTAGCCCCGCTCCCAAGCTGGTAACGGTGGTGTATCGGTCTTCCCTACTCCTGTAGCGTGCCAACATGCCCCGCTGCAGAGGACGACACACCCCAGGAAACCAACCAAGATTGTACTATAGAACTACGAGGACGCAATGGCATCCCCAAGACATAGTCATCACAAGTGAGGCTTTCTAGCAGCGATCCCAATGCGTTGAAAGCGGAACGCGTGGAGGTTTCCCGTCTGAAAATGAGGTGGGCCGCAAACAGAGAAATACTCGCAAAGCGTAGGCGGCGGTCGTGCCGCTACAGGTAGAGGCAAGGTAGGCAGGTATGTACCTCTCGAGGTACCTAGAGGTAGGTAGCGTCGTCCGGCCAATCTCACATATCTGCCCAGTCACCACCCAAAACCCACTTGCCTATCGAAGCACTGAACTGGACCGACGGCTGCTGCCCTCTTGCTGCTACCCAGGGGACCGGGGTGCCCTGACTGTGTGAAGGGTGCAGTGGACTCGCAGATTCCACTTCGCAGCCTGCCCATCGTAGGTATTTTGATTTAGCTAGCCTTCATCCGCACCCCCCCGGCGAACCGACCATCAGGAAGACCCTTCTTTTTCTTCTCTTCCCTCCCCCCCCTTCGTGGTTTTGTGGTTGCGCCGGACAGCAGCAGCACCACCACCATTCAAACACGCGACATCGCGAGAGTTTGTGCAGACAGAGCGGAATCGGACTCTTACACATCCATCTCACTCCAAGCGAGGCATTCCTGTCCTCTGTGCTCGCTCCCGTCATCCGCCTTTTCTCCGCCCTCCGTCCCACCTCCCGTCTCTTCACAACCTACCCCGATCTCCAGCAAGGTCCCCGCCCTTGTCCTGCCACCGAGGCCCTCCCTACCTTACAAGTACCTTAGCGTGTTCCCGTTGGGCACCTCGAGTCCTCAACAACTTGCTCAGCTTTCTCAGCTCGCCCTTCCCCCCCGAGTACCTACCTACCTATCGACTTCCTGTCGTCGCCTTCCTTGTATTCAGTTGCGTGCGTGTCTGTCCGCCGACACGCTTCGCGGCCGCATCGCACACAAAAGTCGTCGAGTGCGCCCTCAGGATTGGATCCGAACGAAACCTCCCGCTTTGTTGGTCTTTGTGGGAGACTGGGTTACCGTGAGACGGCCGCGCCAAATCGAGTAAACTCGGTGAGTTGCCTGATGTTTCCTTGGCCTCCTTTCCGCCCGTTCTACCGTTGTTCCCCCCTTCCGCTGGGCCAGTGCCGGCCAGCCAGCCAGCTTGCTCGCATCGCATCGCCGTCGCATCATATCGCTCCCAAGCGCCTTCGCCGTCGTCATCGTGCTCCTCTTCTTCGGCTTCCATTCCACAACGTGGGCTTTTGGGTCGTTCTTGGTGGTTTCTCCAGCACTCCCCATCCCATCGTCCATCTTGCAGCGGAGATCGCCGTTGTCGACAGACATGCTGTTTGGTGCTGCGGACCCTGGCACGCTGGCACAGCATGGAAGGAAATCATCTTGTGACTGGCCCGCCAAACCTCAGGCTGGCCTCTGGCTAGTCCCTGCGAGTCCAGGACACCCTCCCCCCAATCGGTGTGTACGCGTGATCGGTGGCTCATTCCGTGCTCGCATACCTGCTGCACCTCACTGCTGCATCTGCGTGGATTTCACCTCCGGGCTCTATTGCAGCCATCTTTTCCGCCATTTCTGCTGCCGCGGCGTCGGTGTCGTGTCCGCATCATGACGGCCTCGATACCGCTACTTTGCTACAATCTACACTACTACAAGTGGCGTTGAAACCGCCGAGGACGACTGAAACTGTTGAACGAGCACACACATCTCGCAACCGGTGCCGGACAACGATCCGCCCTCCTTCAAGCATCTACCCGTCACACAGAAACCGGAACCTCTGCTTGCCGCCGAACCACATCTGCACACCTTGCACACCTACATAATACGCGCCGCATTGTCACCAGTATCCCCGCACTCGACATATCTTAGACCCGACTTTGATGCCGAATGGGCTCATTTCCACCGGATATACGCACACTCTACCGATCCATCACGGCCTTCGTAACCTTTTTGTTCAAAATCTCGTCGGCCATTGAAATTACCGAGCCGACTTCGTTTTCCGCATTTTAAGCAAGCTCCAAGCGGTCGCTGTGCCAGACAAGAAGGGCTTGCCGAAAGAACGAGGCGTCTGTGCCTGTGCGAGGTGACGGCTCGACTAACTAACATATGACATTACGCAGACCAACTGCTGTCCGACTTTCGCCACGACAAACTCCCGCAAACTCTACAGACCGCACGATCACGCGCGTAGCCTTCCGAGTCCGAGCTGTACATAAACTCTTCCCAGCGCCGACATCGTCCTATCTAGACACCTTTTCCCCTGCTGTCCTCGTCCGGGAAACGCACCTCTCTACCTACAACGCCCCAACCCGTTATGCATATTGAATGCTAAATATGGATTCGGAAGACGGGGAGTTTTTCATCAAGGTACGACGATTCTATGGTCATTACTGCAATGCAGTTGCGCTTCAAGAGGATCATTAGGCTAATCATCCATGTTGGCTTCTAGCAACTGGCGAGCTTCGTGCGGACCCATGAAAAGGCCCTCGCCAATGCGCTACAGTTTAGGAGACAAAACACTCCTCGCCATGCATCTTCACAGAGCGTTTCGGTGCTCTCCACCTCGGCCCCCACGGCCTCTTCTCTTCCAGAGCGACCTTCGACGTCTTCATCGCCTTCGAGCACATTAGCTGCAGCTCTATCTCTAGGCTCCTTGAACTTTACATCCCACAACGTAAAGTCGGCAAAACTGGCTCTTACCGCCCATCACCTGTTCTATCTACTCTCCCGATTCCAAGAGCTGGCTATTCCTGTCGGCCCCATGAAGGTTCGCCTGGAGAACCTGCACGATAACCGAAATTCGGGAAATTATGTATCCTTCCTTAGCCAAACGCAACGGTGTAAAAGCCGTGGCTCCGACGTTGGCTCAATTCACTCTGTTTCCAGCATCAGGAGTGTTATGTCGGGCATGTCTGCTCTATGGTCGAGTTTTGGAATCGGTTCTAGCATATCTGCCGCTCGTTCTGAGAAGCAGAAGGCTGCCATCGAGGCTGACCTCAAGTACTTGTACTCTGCTTTCACCAAGATCCCTTGCCTACGACTTGCCCCCGACTTCCGCGCGCGTTTGATCAAAGGATACGAAGAATTTCCTTTCGACTCGGCCGTCCCTCTTTATGTCTTCAAGAACGTCCAGGCACTTGAAGTCAGTGATACAGACTTCAGGCAATTCTTTGGTTGGGACCGGCTTTCTGAGCAGCTTCGCTCTCTCACGCTCAAGCGCGCCAGTCTCGATGACCCTGCAGATGTTCTGATCGACATCGTTTTGGATGATATGGATAAGAGACGTCGTCGCTCGTCAAAAGCGCAGTCATCCCCAACCGGTCCTTGGGCTGCACCAAGTCCTCGGAGAAGTCCCACAATCCCGCAGGCGGCGCAGAAGTCGAATTCCCCACCTAGTTCTCCAGATGCGAGGACGTCCAACACTGAAATACCAGTTGGCTCTCTCAACAGCGAATCTGGGCCTGACCAGTTCGGGGCGGCTTTGCACAACCACAGGCGGCCGTCTGTCGTAAGGGTGGACAGCGATGAGTCAAGGACACCGGCAAAAGACGGGCGACCACGAAGTCACTCCCCGCGCCGGCCTACCAGCTCTAGGAATGGCTCAAGCAACGTCCGGGGAAGTCACAAGATTCGTCGATCCGGGTCTGGAAGCTCACACTCGAGCCTCTCGGACTCCTGGTATAATTCTCGTGGAAGTTCTTCCAACTTGCTCGCCATGGGAACACTTCCTCCCTCCAAGTGGCGTTTCCTCAAGCATTTGAGCCTCGCAGACAACTCCCTTACCTCCATCCCGGCGGCCAGTCTGGCCCCACTTGCGAATTCTCTCCATTCTCTCGACCTGTCGGCGAACTTGTTTACCCAGATCCCCGACAGCCTTGTAACTCTGACAGCCCTCCGCGCCCTGAACCTGGCTCATTGCATGATCGACTCGCTCCATTCGCTTATTCGGTGTCCTCTTCCCGCTATCACAGCCCTCAATCTCCGCGCCAACCGCTTGACATCGATTGTGGGCATTGAGAAGCTCTACCCCTTGGAAAGACTGGACTTGAGGGATAATCAAATTACCGATCCTATGGAGTTGGCGCGTCTGACTGGTATCCCCGAACTCCGGGAAATCTACGTGGAGGGCAATCCTTTTACGCGAATCCACCGTGACTACCGCATTACCATCTTTAACCTGTTCCGTCAAACACCGGGATATACCGAAGACATCACTATCGACGGGTCAGGGCCCAGCTACTCAGAGAGGCGGTATCTTCATGAAAGGGCGGCAGAGCTACCGGCTGTCCCCGTCATCAAGCCCCCACCCCAGGAATTGCCTGCGGTGGATGTCAGCAAGCCTACATTTGTATACGAGCCACCCCCAAGAGAACCGGCTGTCCTTAGGAAGGAGAGGCCCATGCCCAAAAGCACAACAAGCGAACTCAACACTGCGTCTACGCGCCGTCGGAAAGCACCCAAACGACGTATTGTGGATCTCGCTACTAACGAGACGCCTGCTCCGGTGACTCTGGTCGACGATCGCAGTAGACCTGGCGAGAGAGCGGCTTCGGGTCATAACGAACATTATCGTATTTCACAACCCACCGAGATCCATGCTCCTCAAGAGACACTTACGACTAGCCCTTTGCCCGACGCTCGAGCACCCGCCGATATCCCCAGGATTGAATCCACCGTCATTCCCAGCATAACTCCCCTTTATCCCTCCCACAAGAGCTCATCCGAGTCTCAGTCGTGGAGGGATAATGGCCACTGGGATGTCGACGGCGAACTGTACCGTCGGAAGATCGAGTCGCTTCGTGACAAAGTGGGGAGCCGCTATCTGAGTGCACTCAATGAGGAAGGATGGGATCCTACTTCGCTTCCGCCCAACTACCGCGAGGGCAACTTTGGTGCCCCCTCTCCCTTACTTGCGGACCCGACAGCTCCTAGAGCCGCATCCGTGCAGGCGATCCATAGTGGTCGAACACTTGGATGAAGTCTTATTATGATATTACCCCCAGGCTTGTAAAAAAAAAAAGGCATGTTATGACTTTTGGAGCGTTGTATAAGTTGTAAGCTGTTCGCTGGACGATGCTACGATACCTACTCGCTACCTCTACGCATTCCCTCCTCCAAACCCTTCAAGCACTTGTGTAGGATTGGACTGGGCTGGTTTGCATTTACATTACACAAGAAAAGAGATATCCTATAGGCATAGCGTATTGGCGTTTTGGAATGGGAGGGCGTTGAAGGAAGCGGGAGAAATATGATTGTATAACCTATCCTGCCACACCTATCTGCCATTCTTCCTGTGTGTTCTTTTCAGCTATGCCCGTTTTTGTTTTTTTGTTTTTTTTTGTGTTTGTGCTGGAGCTGTTGCATCTTGGACCTGTTGGAAGATCTTGTTTTTTTGGAAGGTGGAAGTTTGATGCTTCTTCATCATCGATTGGCATTGATATCCACACGGCCTATAGATCTCGTCCATCTGTGGACATGATTTGGTCACCCTTTCGTTTTTCCCGCATTCGGACGAGTTTCAGTAACAGGTGGCTAGCCGGTGGCAGCATTGAAGTTTGAAAGAGTAAAGACAGAATGAATGGTGGGAGGCATTGCGAATCCTTTTGACAGTCCAAGAGCTGAGGCATGATGATGACGACGATGATGATGATGGGTGGAAGCTTTGGTGGAATTGGTTGATTTCCTCCGTTACTGGCGTGTCTTATCTTGTTATGATCAGGTATCACGCACGAGGGTGGTTCGATGATGATGGTGATGATGATGATGATGATGATGATGATTGGCGTTATTTTCGAGGGCATCTGAGAGAGATTTAAAAAAAAAAGCATTGCAGAGTACAGCAAGAAGCGAGACATTATGCATACTAGTTTCTCACAAATTGGGTTTCCCTGAAACTTCATGTCCGCGTCTTCTTTATCTGATGGCTGTTACATCTGCTTCAGTTCTTTGCATTGTACGCCTCGAATTGATGTTGCAGAAGGGGAGAATTTGTGCGGACGCTCAAGAGTTGCAGTTTGTAGCAGTTCAAATTGACGAGCTATTTGGTTGCCATTGCGAATATCACTATTCAGCCTAGAGTACGAGGGTTCGAATACGAACATGTCTCTTATCTTGGAACAATGGCAAATAACACGGTGCCGCCTGCGATAACGCCCAAAAGAGGGAAATCATAAGCTCGCGAAATTCCAGAACCAGGATTTTCATGATCGTGAACGGTGGATCTCTTATGCATTCTCGGCAACGGATCCGAGCGAACGGATCGGATGGGTTCGTCGGGGATTTAGGTTTAAATTTTTTTTTTCTTTTGTTTTTAAGCTTAAACGCGAGATAGTGTCCTTGTCGATCCCCTCCGTAATTCTCTCTGCTGGGTCAGTCAATCATTCCATGACAGGAGAATGCTGTATCTCGACTACTAGGTGTTTTTTTTTTTTTTTTTTTTTTTTTTGGTAAATCATGGTATCCTGTTGTCAATGTAGCCGGCTCCTGCCGTGATTGGAAGCACACGTTCCTACAAAGACCGGTTCACCAAGCCTCAATTGAGCACAAACGAAGTGACGGACAGCAGAATGGATATTGAAACCAATTGGCCATGATCCTTGCTGTGTTATTCTCGGAATGTCTGCCGGAGGTTCTGGCTCGGATCCGATGAGGAGGAAGGCCAATCAGACGTCGAGCGCATGCGGGATCATGCGTTACGCGCGCGAGTGTTACATAGTTAGAAAGGATTCTTTGTCTTTTTTTTTCCTCTTGATGATCCTTTCTCACTGTTGATGAGGTGGCAAGGCTAAATGCCTGGTCAATTCGAAAAAAATGCATGAACGGATGGGGGCCAGGGGGCCGACCGTGGGTCGTGGGAAAGGTGAGTGGGGGACTCTGACTTGCCAAGACAGTGCAACTAATCAATACTACCACGCACGAAGATTGCATCTCTGTGGAAGAATTACATCATGGTTTAACAGTAAATCTGGATATTGTGCGCTGGCCGTTCTCTGCGTTGACCTAGGGAAGGATGAAGGTGGTCGGTTTCTGTGACGACATCTGATCTTTTGCCAAACTAGAGGTAGCTCTATGGATTTCTCGGGAGAACACACAGGAAAGAAACAAAGAGCTGAAACTCACCTCAAAGCTCGCCGGATCCAGCGTGCGAATGCGCATACCCAACTGCCCAAGTTCTGCTGTTGGTGTCAGCCCTTTCTTTCATCCCGCCTCCTCCCCGTGATGGAAACAGTTGGTTTGATTCATGAATGTGCCGCCAAACAGCTTGGTTTGAAGCATAACGACGTTCGCCAAACAAAAGGGTCTGCCACTAAGACTGTAACTGTGCACTACAGGTATCTTGTGGTGGTTAATCTGCCAAAAGCTTAAAGTTGAGTTCTGGGGGATCTTCGAGGGTGGCTGGGATTAGGGATCGAAATGTGCAAAACCGTTTGGTGACTGAAGTGAAGATGATCCACGCACGCAAGCTGCAACACGGAATTTAGCTCAAAGGGCTAGGCCGAAACGAGCGGTAAGCCCCTCCTAACCCCTGGAACCCCTTGTTCTTGTCGATTTTAGGGCCCGTGACATGCGTGCGGCTGTCGTTACGTAAGCGGATAGCCAGTGGGCCATCTTTCTTGCCCTTGACCGCGGCATGCTGATTGGCTAGCCATCACTCGAGCCTCGCGTTTTCGAGAACGTCACGTCTTCAGGCCTACCGGGCTCCCTCACGCTTCCCGCATCGTTGACCATCGCACACCCGCTCCTTCTTGCCTTCTAGCCCACGGTCGCATATCTACGCTTCCTCCACCAATGATCGAGCCGGACCGCCGACCCTCTCGAGTGATTCCTCAGCCACCATCTCCAACGCGGTGATCCCCCTTTGACCACCGCCTACCCATCACTTATTCGTCACCTTCGACTCGTCCATCAGCTTTATTGCTTCATCCATCAAGCAGCCATGGCGCCGGTGCCATCAACCCCGCGGCGGCGACCTCAGAGTCGGCCCAAGGCTCGTTCAAGGGCCGGAGGTTCTGCGACCACCTCCCGCGGCAAGAGACACGCCTCAGGCGCCCCGGCAACCGAGCCACCCTTGAAGAAGAGACGATACGTGCCTGGTGGGCCCGGCGGTGGCGGACGTTTTATTGATGAAGATGGTGTCGAAACCCCGGCCGAGCCATCGGGCTCCGCATCAAGAATACGAACATCCGCCGCCCGTGCCTCCCCAAGCGTTTTCCCGAAACGAGAGCGAAGTACAAGGATACGGACCGCCGTGAACCGCGATAAACTCGACGATATGCAATACAGTTCGGCTGCCGCCGTGGTGGCGGCCGTTGTTCAGAGCGAAGGCTACAAGCCCCGAGAGGAGCGTGGGTGGGAAGAGTTTCACCCAAACCTGGATATTGAAGGGACATTTATGATCTTTCAAGCCGACGAAGTAGACGGTATCTTGAGGGAGGCACCTCATACACCTGTCGTCCAACAACAACCACAACAACCACAACAACATCAACTAGGTGGCCAAGATAATGGCGCCACTACTCCTACGAAGAGCGCCATCAACAACATGGTGTCAACGGACGCACCCAATGCAGCAACACCTAGTGGGCAGGATAGGCCTCTACTTGCTGGTTCGGTCACAGATACACCTAGTAGGCGTAGACCACTACGACCAACGAGAGAATCGTCTTCTATCTATGCAAACCGTCCGCTGGACTTTGGTATCACACCAAAAACACCCAAAGTTCTTCCGATCCACAACCAGACGCCAAAAGAGCGTTTGGACCTCAAGCAGCCATCATACCGAAAAACTGACCGAATAGCCCTATTCGAGAGCAAGACTTTTGGGCAAGCACGCTATGTCGACAAATCCATGTCCAATGTGGGCTATCAGGAGAGCGACAACTTCATTCGGCCGGATCAGAAACTCATCAAGGCCACGGATGCGAACGTCGAGGAAGACATCGATCCTTCGACCATGACACAAGCAAATAGTGATTCTGCACACAATTCGGCGGGGGCTGTGGGCAGGGTCGAATATGACATGGATGAGCAAGATGATATGTGGCTTGAGACACTCAACAGGCGCCGCAAGGACTCCAACCTCGACACTATAACCCGCGAAATATTCGAAATCACAATAACAAAGATCGAGAAGGAGTGGCATGCGCTAGAGAAGAGGATACCAAAGCCAAACCCGAAACCACCACAGACTCATAGGCCCAGGTCGAGCTCAGCAGCGGCAGTCAACGGCGAACCGCAGACCGGCGAGGAGCAGGATAGCAAGTGCGCCATTTGCGATGATGGGGATTGCGAAAACACCAATGCCATTGTCTTTTGCGATGGCTGCGATCTTGCAGTACACCAAGAGTGCTACGGTGTACCTTTTATTCCAGAGGGCCAGTGGCTATGTCGAAAATGCCAGCTTATTGGGCGTGGTGTCCCAACCTGCATCTTCTGTCCAAATACCGACGGTGCATTCAAGCAGACAAACTCGTCAAAATGGGCACATCTCCTGTGTGCCATGTGGATTCCAGAAGTGTCACTTGGGAATCACACCTTCATGGAGCCGGTGATGGAAGTGGAAAAGGTCCCCAAGAACAGGTGGAAACTCGTGTGCTACATTTGCAATCAGAAGATGGGAGCCTGCATCCAGTGCTCTAACAAAAACTGCTTTCAGGCTTTCCACGTCACATGCGCTAGACGAAGTCGGCTATATCTGAAGATGAAGAACAGCCAGGGTGCTCTTGCAGTGTTGGAAGGCGGTCTGCCACTCAAAGCATACTGCGACAAACACTGTCCGCAGGACTACGCGAAGGAGAACGATGTTGTTCAGGCGACAAAAGATGCTAAGCGCTTTTATAAACGCGCCATGAAGGGCCGCATCTGGGCTGATAGTCAAGCTTCAGCCCTGCAACTGGCAGCTACCCACCGGCACGCCATTACCGAGCACCCTCCTGACGAATCCCAGATGACGGGAGCCAAGGTTTCTGCTGTCCTAGGGGAAACCAAGAACGGCCATCCAGGAAAGCCTATATGGAAGCTGCCATCGGGAGCGCCCATCATCCCACAGGCTGTCTACGATCTGGTGGAAAGCGCCCTAGCACGCTTCCCTATCCTGAAGAGGAAGGACTTTGTTGCCGAAGCATGTCGTTATTGGACTCTCAAGCGTGAAGCCCGTAGGGGTGCTGCTCTTCTGAAACGTCTCCAGCTCCAGATGGAGACATTCTCATCCATGGAGTTGACGAGGCGGAACTTCGCAGCTATGGGACCATCGGGCAAGACACGGTTGGCTAGAAGAATTGAGTTTGCGCGAACATTATTGAAAGACCTTGAACACCTCAAGGCCTTGTCAGAAGAGATCGTGCAGCGCGAGGCTAGCAAGCTTGAAGCTGCCGAGATGGAACGCGATTTCGTGGACAGCTGCTATTTCCCAGTCTATGAGATGCTGATACCGGCTCTCCAGAAGGCCATCCAGTACGTCTCTTGAACCGCCACTCTTGTCACGAACAACCTTGTGCTAACGGGAATAGGTCAGATAGGGACGTCTTTGCGAAGGGCTTGTCCGAGTTGCAGGACAAAATGGAGAAGCGCTACTACACGACAACCTTGCAGTTCACCCACGATCTCTGCCAAGTCATTAGTGCCGAGATCAACTCTGCAATGAACCCGCATGCTGGTTTAGACCAAATTGTCGAACCATCGTATGCTTCACCGACGAAACCCGGCGCCAATGCTGAAGTGAAGAAATGCAAGCAGATGGGCAAGAGGATATTAAGGCAAGTTCAGCCATATCTCGAAGCAGCATTGCAAGCAGAGGCGGATATCTGCAGCAAACCCTACGATGCTCTCCATCAAGAACTAGAAGGCATGCTCGATGCAAGCCTGGAAGTCAGGCAACCCACAATCACTGTGTCCAGCCATGACGGTGTCGCGGCTGAGGACGTTGATATGGCTGATGCTCCAGAAGAGGGCGGCCAGATCATCGTCGCCGATCAGAGCGACGGCGAAGCAGATGGGGAGGGTGACGAAGACGGGGACGGTAAAGCGGACGCTAACGTTAATTCCAACGGTGAACCGGATGAGATGAACGTCGATACCTCCCAACAGAAGGCGGGTGTGGGCAGCATAGAGGTAAACACATTAGAGGTCGACGCTGCACCAAAATCTAATAACACACTATCAACAAGCCAGTCAGTCGCTGGCGAAGAAGAGAAGGAAAATCACAAGGAAGACTCCCAACAGCTTCAGCTGCCTGATGGACCCACCAAAGACTCCGGCACTCCACCCTCTTTACCCGGCGAAGGTCCCGACCGCGCCAATGTTCCCCAGCTATCGCACCCTCAACAGTCTGGGCCTCTCACACCACCTCAGTCGAATGGAAGCTTCGGCCGTGACCCGACCACCAACATCCTCACAGAGGGTGGCGTGCCCACCTACCTCCACGGCTTCCAGATCGAAGGTACATCAGTCATCGAAGAACAGTGGCCTGGCAGAGAGGCGGTGCGAAGTCTAAGTGAGGAATTGACGGATATGGACGATGAGGCCCTCAAGGACCTTGAGTTTGATGTCGATGAGGCAGATACCATTACGGCGACGTCTCCTAACCATGTCCCCGTTCCGCTAGTAACTGCGGAAATAGCAGTAGAGGGCGGCGCCAGCAGCAGTAAGGATGTTGCTGCCGCTGTTGTTACTGCTGCTGTTGCGAATGCTACTGCCACATTATCAGCGCCGCCAGTAACGAGGAGAAGAGAGAGGGCAAACCCAGCGATGGCTAGGAAAGGTGTTAGATCGAGTGCCAGGAGGAGGTGATGACATGACATGAGATGGCGAGCCAGCGTTTATGAAGTAAATGGATGGAGCTGGGTTCCACTCATGTGTCGTGTTTCTTTCTTACCAAGTTTAATTCGGAAAATATTCTTTTCTTCGATTTTTTTTTTCATCTCTCTCACCTCCTCGCGCAAAACCTACCTCTTAAGTACTCCCCACCTCCGAGCAAGGTAAGTGCGTGTTCCTTGGTTTCCTTTTTATCTCTTGTGTTTGCTTTCTTCTGTTTGTTGGAGGTGCATCATGGTATTGTGTATGGATACTTCAACCATCTCTGCGTCGGCGTGGCGCGTCTTGTTGAGGGCGTTTACATTTTTTTGCCCAGCAATCGCCTTCTCTTCCTTATTGTCTTGTATTGCCTGCCTCTTTACCGGGCTTTGCTACGTGAGAAGGTTTTTCTTTTTTTGTTTTCTGGCAGGTTTCTTTTATACCAGTTTTGTTTCACATCTCGAGTTTTATGTAGCCAAACGGAACGGAATGGGTGATATGGGATGGGTCAGGAGTAGGCGTAGAGGGCAAAGGGGTCGGATCAATGTTCTTGATATGATAACCAAACACGCGAAGAGGCGTGAAACAGATATTCATTATATTCTGGTTTTCTCTTTTCTCTTTTTTTTTTCTCCTTCCGAATGGGACTTCTTGCCTGCTATTACGGTAGTAAGTGGTATATTAGGTATTAGAGTTGACCTTGACTGCGGTCCCTTACTTCTCCACATATCCAAATCAAACATACCTTCAGCATCATATTTTGGACATGAGCAACAGCGTCAATGGACAAACTCAAGTCAGATATACATGGACCACATCGTTTTCCTGACCACCTGGGAGCTTGATCGCGTTGTAGCTAGATTCTCGGTTCCAAAATCATCAATTAATGGGCTAAAGTTTTTCACGTCTATGTTCCCTTCATACCTACGAACGCTGTGTAACTTGTATTGGTGAAGAAAGACTTCCTCCTTCCTTTACCCCAGAGTACAGGTGTACTCATTGTTGAGAAAGCAACCCGTCGGTCCACAGGTACATATTCCCCCAATAGCCTTTATCGTCATGCCCTTCCATTGTCTTCTCACGGAATTGCGCAGGTATCATGACATACCTCTTTCTAGTCTCTGCCTTCCCACGTGTCGAACTATCAGCATCAGGTTCTTGAATGTACTACTGTCACTATATGTCACTATATGCAGACACCTTGTTGAGATGCCGACCTAGCTAAGTAGGTAGATGGACTCGCTCAACCCAGCCCAAACAAATTAGATCTACTTTGTTTTCCGTTGGAGCCAGGCAGGCTGAACCAATCTGATCTGTCAAATTGATCTTCGTAAGTTTCAATTTGTTCCCACACCACGAGTGAAAGTGATGTCAGGCTGGTGGTCTTCCTACACTATCTCTCCGTATTATCGGGAGCTAGTATTGTTTCGTTTCTTGCTTTCTTCCTTTTTTGTTTCTTCTTCTTTCTGTTTCTCTGCCGAGCAAGCCGAGTCTCATCTTCCATGCTTGCTTTACTTACATTACGTATATATATGGACATATGAGAGATCTTGGCTTCCTCCTCCGTTCCGATGATTTGATCCGATCATGATTGCTCTCCGCTCTGCCGCGCGGATCAGGGTATGTGCAGTAAGTGTAAGGTAGGTAGAGGTATGTATGGCTTGCAGTCACTCAGTGTCACTGAGGTGGACCCATGACATATAAGAGCATGAAGGATGGATGAATGGGATAGGGAAGCGAGGATGCGGTGGGATGGAAGGGACGAAGATCGTTTCGTGAAAGTTGGGGTAGGTGAGGGAGGGAGAAGAGGATGAACCCTGGATGCATATCCATAACCATACTCTCTGTAACAGGTTTCCCCCCGTCGTTGACAGCCCGCAATAATACGCTCGGTCGGTACGTCAAAGAAACAGGATGGACGTTGGCTTGATTGTAGCTAGTTGGAAATCGTGATCCATTCTGTCATATCAAGCTAAAGGAAAAAAAAAAAAAAGTTACCTTCTGCATGAAATGTATCGAGCATTGGGAAAGATGAACAGATAACCATACATAATGGATCACAAGAGATGATGATATTCAACGGGCGATGAGCAGTGAAACAAAATAAATTTGGACAAATGGAAATCGGAACTTACGCACAATGACAGCATAGGATGGAGGGGCATGGAATCGAGTCCAAATGCCGGGTGGTAGGACCAGCGTCCCTTTTTGAACCGTTTTTATATTTTATTTTATTTGTTTATCAACAGATCCCGGTGCAGTCATGGTTCAGCTGGAGATACTTGGAGGGGCTTTACAAAGGAGGGGGAGTGGGAGAGGAGGGGTGGGGAGGGCGCGCTCCATACACTACTTGACTGCGGAGGAGGGGACTCGAGCTGGAGAAGGGGGGGATGGGTGTTGTGGAGGGGGGGGGGGG